TTGGGGATCACTCCCACGGCAGTATTCTTGGAACCATGCAGTCAAATCCAGGACTCCAGCATGCAAATCATGTACTCTACCTCATGAATAACTACCCGACCCAGAAAAGTTTGCTTTAAAATGATGTGGTATGCAATAGGAGAAAATATTTGACACCTAGGAATATATATAAAACACTTTAAAATGAATGTGAAAATCATAGATCTTTATTAAGAGATTATTAAGGTATGTTTAGTTTTGTTTAGAATTTCTTTTAAAAATTTTATCCACACCCCTGGGGCTGGAGTGATAGCACAGCGGGTAGGGCATTTGCCTTGCACGCTGCTGACCCGGGTTCAATTCCCAGCATCCCATATGGTCCCCCGAGCACTGCCAGGAGTAATCCCTATGCATTGCTGTGTGTGACCCAAAAAGCAAAAAAAAAAAAAAAATAGTAATTCATACAACGAGTTGTGGAGTTGGCACATTTTCAGCTGTGGTGCTTACCTAAGTGTTCACATAACAAGTTATGGTAGTTGTATACTCAGCCACAGTACTTACAAAGCTTGTACTCCTTTAGTTATGCTTGCACACATGGTCACCATGCATCAAAGTTGTGGCACACAGATTGTCGTTCTGGTGTTCACTGGGATCACTGTTGTACTTTCCAGGGGTTACGTTTTCTGATCATGACTCTAGTTGCAGTGTTCGCCAGGGATCATACTCCCTGTTTCTGCTGTTCACACAGATTTCCAGCAGTTGTAAAATCAGTTGTGGTACCAGAGGGAGCAGACAGCATCGTTAACTCCAGGCTCAAACAGCAGAGCTGCCCGGATCATGCTCAGCACATGTGGGCAACCAAGGAGTTGGAATTAGTGACCATATGCTTGAAAGGGAAGCACACTTAATATGATAGCCGTTCTATGCTATTCCTCCAGGTCTATAAAGAAGACTTTGTTATGAGACGGGACAGTGAATTGAGCCACGCTTGGCAGTGTTCAGGGCTTAGTACTTAGGAGATCGTGTACAGTGCCAGAGATCCAGACCAGCTGCATGCAGGGGAAGCACCTTACTCCTGTATTATCTCTCCAGCCCAGAAGTCTTAAGTAATGGAAAGTTTATCTTATTCATAGATATTACCACTAGGAGATTTAGAATTTTCTAATTCTTAAATACCTTGCAAATTTTCAGTTTTCATGGCATTTCAAAGTTTATACAGAAGTTAAAACTAAAGCAAGATCAGATTGTTTTGTGGTTTTTGTTTGTGTATGTGTATTTGTGTATTTTGGGCCACACTTGGCAGTGCTCAGGGCTTACTGGCGCTGAATGCAGAGATCACTCCTGGCAGGCTCAGTGCTGGGAATCGAACCGGGGCTGGCCATGTGCAAGGCAAAAGCTCTACCTACTGTATTATCACTCCAATCCTAGCAAAATAAAATTGGGAAAGAGGGGGTGAAGATGTTGCTCAGTAATAGAGCACTTACCTTGCATGCATAGCCCATAGTTGGATCCCTGGCACTGAAAATAAAAAATGCTTTTAAGAAGACAATATGATGTTATTCTAAGTATAAACACATTAGCAGAGCAGAATAGAAGATATAAACAAAATTTTTCTATCACATAGCTTTCTGATATATATTTGAATTTGTCGATCATTCAAGAATGATCTTTCAGTGATTTTTTTTTCCTTTTTTTAATTTTTGGGTCACACCTAGCAATCTCTGCTCGGGGATCACTTGTGGAAGGGTCTGGTGACTAAATGAGGTACTGGAGATCAAACCCAGGTTGGCCACATGTGGTGCAAGTGCTTTATCCACTGTACGATCCCTCCAATCCAGTAATTGTTTTATTTATGAAAAATAGTTCTCTTATAATATACAAGTGTAAATTTCATGTGGATAGGGCCTGGAGAGATAGTATAGAAGTTAGGACTCACACAACCATCTAACCAGCATTCGATCACCGGTATCCCACATGGTCCCAGTGATCCCTGAGGAGTGATCCCTGAACACAGAGCCAGAAGTAAACCCTGAGCACCACCAGGTGTGCCCAAAAACCAAAAACAAATTCATGTGGTTGAAAAATAAATATAAAAGACGGAACTCCAAATGTTATAGGAGACAATGAATGAGACTATTCTCAGGATATGGAGAAATTTTATTTTAGAACAATAAAAGGGGGGCCAGAGTGATAGTACAGTGGGTAGGGCGTTTTCCTGGCATGCAGTAGACTTGAGTTTGATCCCCAGCATCCCATATCATTCCCTGAGCACTGCCGAAAGAGTAATTCCTGAGTGCAGAGCCAGGAATAAACCCCTGAGCATCGCCACGTGTGACCCAAAAAGCCAAAAAAAAAAAAAAGGAACAAACCATAAAAGACAGATTGAGTAGACTGAAACAAAATTTATAATTCATTGTTAAGGGCAAGATGTGTAGCTCAGTGGTGGAATGCACTGCTAGCATATGAGGCCCTGAGTTGGATCCCCACCATTGCATAACCTTTCAGCTACTGCCAAGTAAAGCCCTGGTAGCTCTGGAACACCACAGCTTGGTGCATTTGCTGCCAGGAGTAGCTCCTATTAAAAGAACAAAGCCAGAGAAAGAGAGATGCCTTGCCAAAGGAAAGAGCGGGAAATATAAATAGGTAATTAGCAGAAAAGGAATCATGAGTGGCTAATTGTTGGTTAATAGTGAAGGGAGTGAGCAGTAATAGATAAATGAATGTTTTCTCGAATTAGTACAGTATACAGAAATGCAGCTAGATTTTTGGAAGGATATCAAGAGGTCAGGGGTTGGAGGCAGCTTGGAGAGAGTACAGAGGGTAAGGAGCATATCTTGCATGCAGTCAACCTTGGTTTGATCCCTGACACACATTATGGTCCCTCTCAAGCACTGTCAGGTTTGCCCTCCCCACACCCCCACCTCTACCCCCCCCCCCCCAAAAAAAAAGCCAAAAAAAATAAAGGAGAAGACAGGAGTGATACAGGATTTCCATTTTGTAGTTTCTGGCGTGTGGCTAGGACCCATTCTTCGAATAGTGACTAAAACTCTTAGCAGGTATGGGGGACCATATGGAGTACCTGGGATCGAGCCTGGGTTGGCTGCTTGTACGGCAAGCACTCTACCTGGCATATTATTACTCTGGCCTAAAACTATTTGTAACTTGACATCTTTCTGGCCATCAAAAAATCAGAAGAGAGTTTGGAACAGTTAGGTTAGCTGAAGATTTAAGGTAGTACTTCAATAATCAGAAAGTCAGGAAGCAAGAATAGTGGAAGATAGCTGATTTTGTACAAAAACTATGCCTAACTATCTCATTGATCCCTAAATTACACATGCATATGTCAGAATAAAGTATCCCAAGAGACATAAAATAACTGAGCAAATTATTGGGTTCTTGACCCTCCCACTTTTTACCACTAAGAGTAGAATCATTTTGCAGGGAAGTTTGGGGTTTGGGGTCCCACCTGTTGGTGCTCAGGGGCTGCTTCCTTGTCTGTGTTCAGTGGACTGTGCAGTGCCTGGGATTGAACCAGGGTCAGCCACATGCAAAGCAATGCTTTAACTCTTCCTGTATTAGCCATCTGATCCCTCAGCTTGGAGAATTTCTTGACTACTAATTCTTCAAATAAAATTTCTTCCCCTTTCTCACTCTTTCCCTTCTGAAATACTTATAATGTGAATGTTGTTCCTCATCATGCCATCTTAAATAACTCTTACATTATCTTCATTTTTTAAAAAATTTTTTTGCTGATCTTTTGGCTTCTGTACTTTCCCTTCAGACCTACTGATTTGTTTTGGCTTCTTTACTTTTGTTGAAGGTCTCTTTGCATTATTTTGTTTTGTTTTGGGCCTTTACCTGGCTGTGTCCAGGGCTTACTCCCAGCTCTGGGCTCCGGGATCACTCTTGATGGGCGTGGTAGACTGTATGGGGTGCCAGGAGTCGAACCCTGTGGGGTACAGGGAACCATATAGGATGCTAGGTTTCGCCGGTTTGGCTGTGTGCAAGGTCAAGAAAAGGTTTTTTTTTGGTTGATTTTTATTGTTTTGACATCACAGCTGTTAATGCCTCAGGGGCTATTCTGTGTTCAAGAGTTGAGGACCATGCAGTGTCAGGCATTAAACCCAGGCTCTAGCATGTGCTCTTGCCTGTGAGCCATCTTCCCAGCCTATGTGTTGGTTTCTTAGCATTTACCAAGAAGTTTGTTTCTCCAACGTTTACCCAGTTTTTTTGTTTTTGTTAAGAACTACTAGATTTAAGTGTATTAAATTTTGATCCATTGTTTCAGATTGGCTGCCATGTTCTTTCACTGTGACCATCATCAAAAGCCACTGATTGATTTTTTACCATCTAGTGTTTTAAGATATACCACACTCATCTTGGGTAGAATGCGAGTCAGTCCGTTGTCAAGAAGCTACTAATATTAGTATGTGAAATCCACATTTCTAAACTATAGTCTGTACTATCCTGCTGTGTGTGTGTGCATGTATGTTTAAAGATAAAATGTATCTAAATTTATATTAGTACTTCCTTTTTTGATTTTGGGCCACACAGGCAGTACTGGGATAGGAAAAGTACTCTTGGCCTTGTTGGGGGACTAACGGGGATTTAGTATCTAACCATGGGCTCACACATGCAAAGCATGGGATCCAGGCCTTTGATGTTTCTCCCTGACCTGATACAGATACTTTGAAATGAGATTCATGAATATAAGATGTTTTTGGTGTCCTATTTGAACGTGTTTCTTTTTCTCTTATGATGAAATTATACTGTCAATAGTTATTCTTTTGCTTCAACCTTCTTCACACCTACAGCAGACAGAACAATAACAGTTATTAATTTCCCACCAAAAATGTTACTGGAAATTCATGTAAATTTTTTCCGGTTCTTTTTCTAGGGTATCTTTCACTACTGTGGTGTTAAATACTATTTCACAAATCACCCTTATTTGTACTTATGCCTTCATATTCATACAGATGTTGGTTCATTTTATCCATTTAATACTAAATCTTTCTCTTTAGGTAGGAAGAGTGGCATATCTCCTAAAAAATCAAAATACATGACTCCGATGCAGCAAAAACTAAATGAAGTCTATGAAGCTGTGAAAAACTATACTGATAAAAGGGGCCGCCGCCTCAGTGCTATATTTCTGAGACTTCCGTCCAGATCTGAATTGCCAGATTACTATTTGACTATTAAAAAGCCAATGGACATGGAAAAAATTCGAAGTCACATGATGGCCAACAAATACCAAGATATAGACTCTATGGTTGAGGACTTCGTCATGATGTTCAACAATGCCTGTACATACAATGAACCCGAGTCTTTGATATACAAAGATGCCCTTGTCCTACACAAAGTCCTCCTTGAAACACGGAGAGACCTAGAGGGAGATGAGGATTCTCATGTCCCAAATGTAACCTTGCTGATTCAAGAGCTTATCCACAATCTTTTTGTGTCAGTCATGAGTCATCAGGATGATGAAGGAAGGTGCTACAGTGATTCATTAGCAGAAATTCCTGCTGTGGACCCCAACTTTCCAAATAAACTTCCTCTTACTTTTGACATAATTCGGAAGAATGTTGAAAATAATCGCTACCGGCGGCTCGATTTATTTCAAGAGCATATGTTTGAAGTATTGGAAAGAGCAAGAAGGATGAATCGGTATGTTTTCAAAGTCATTTTTCAAAAGGTGTTATTTATTGCAGAGCAGAAAAAATAATAGCTTGATTCAGCTTAGGTACATGATTACACTTGGTCAGGTACTATTTTAAGTTCTAATTAGGAAAACCTTGAAGAGGGCAAGTATATATGGTAAGGGAGGGAAGGGCATACAGCTGTATCATAAAGCTTCCTGTTCAGTCTTCTTGGTCTGAACACCACATGACGTTGCATGCATTCATTTCACTGTAGCACTGCACTGTCCTCCCATTGTTCATCGATTTGCTCGAGCAGGCGCCAGCAACATCTCACAACAAATTGTGAGACTTGTTGTTACTGTTTTTGGCATATCGAATACGTCACGGGGAGCTTGCCAGGCTTTGCCATGCGGGCGAGATACTCTCGGTAGCTTGCCGGCCTCTCCGAGAGGGACGGGTTGGCCGTGTGCAAGGCAAATCCCCTACCCGCTGTACTATCGCTCCAGCCCATTTCTTTCATGGTGCAGAAATTTTTTGTAAACCATTTCTGTTGTGGTGCCAGGATTTACTGTACTGTTAGTCATACTTTTCATGAATACATCATTCCAACACTGCACCCATCACCAGACTGCCTACTCCCCACTGCCAGTGCAAGGGCCTCTTCCCACCCATTTCCCCACCCCCCGTGTAAGTTCTTTAGTTCTGATGACTTTGACCACTTGTTGTTCCCTTGCTAAGTTTCTTTTTTTTTAATCTCATATTAGGGATAGATCTCATTTTCCTTTTTTTTTTTTTTATTGTGGAAGCGGTGACACCTACTCACATCGGTGAGTAGAGCTAAACTCCTGAAATTCCACAAGATTGCTAAAGTGAAAAAATTCTTTCAAAAACTTTATTTTTCTTACAGGTATGTAAGTTTAAAAAAGGAGTAATTCTGTGGTAATGCATTTTAAGAAGTACATGAAATAGATAAATCCTGAGAATGTCAAATTCAACGAGAGAGAAGAGAGTTAAGAAAAACATAAGGGAAGAATAAGCTTACAGAAATAAAAGTGTGTTTTACCCTAAGAAAGGAGAGTTCATTGCTGTGTTGACATCTGATACCATCATGCTTTGTCACACTTAGCCCCACCCACCACTGCTGCCCAATAGCACCTGTGTCTTCACATCCTGAGATTGAAGGAATGAGGCACATAGTAAAAGGAAAGACTGGGGTGAGAGGAGCTTGTCTGCCAGCTATTTTCAGTGTTAGCACAGCCTGACTTGTGCCACTTGGGCACAGACTTTCCTACTCAGTTATCAGCATTATTCTGGGTGTTTTTTTATTTTGTTTTAGCGGGGACAGAACCTCACTGATGATGCTGGGATCATTCTGCTTCCAGCTCTGTGCTCAGGGGTTTGTCCCTATGGTACTCAAGGGAACATGTAGTACTGGGGATTCAACCTGGGCCTCCGTCATGCTAGGTCTCTGTCTGGTCTCTGGCCCATTTGTCAGTATTCTCTAAGTGCTCTGACTCTCACAGGTCAGAATTCCATGGGAAGACAAGGACAAGGGAAGCATCAGTAGCCTTCCCTTATCTTCATTTTTTTCCTTCTGCTGAATTCTGCCTTATACCTACTGATTACCCACCAATTAGTTCTTTTTCCATCTGAAGGTCTTTTGTTTGTTTCCATTATTTGGGGGGGGCCACACCTGCTTTTGCTCAAGGCTTACTCCTGGCTCTGCACCCAGGGATCACTCTTACTGGTGCTCAAAGAACCATAGGAGGACCGGGGATGGATCCCAGGTCAGCCATATATGCGAAGCAAGCACCCTACCCAGTGCATTTTCACTCCAGCCCCAATAAATAAAAATTTTTTCAAAGAAGCTTTCTGGAGACTTGAGCTAGACACTCTGTTGTGTGTTATGAAGCAGCTGGCTAGGCTTACAGTTCCTGCCAGAATGTCTGCGCTGCTAAGACATTGATATGTGGTTACCTTTGTGAGTCATTTTTTAATACCCTGATATTCCTTATTTATAGAATTATATCTAAGCCTTCCTCAGACTACAGTGGATTAGAAAGAGTTCTAAAAAAAAAATCTTATCTTGTTTAAATTATAAAGCTTATTTTGCCCAGTTTTCTCATTTCTCATTTCTTATAAGCAAAGAAACTTAGAATTGTGTTTTCAAAATGACTATTTTTCCCATCTTTCACTGTGTTGTTTTCCTGGAACCTTCTAACTACATAGTTATTTCTGTTTATTTTTATGGTGCCAGGGACTGAACACAGGGTCTTGAGCATGCAGACACATGCTCTGCCTTTGAGCTACAATCTGGATCTGTGTCCTCAGTTTATTTCTGGGAAATTCAAATGAGCACTGAGTGCTTGAGAGAGATTATAGGGTTTAAGGCACTTGCTTGTCTCGTACATGACCAATCCCAGTTTGATTCCTCGCACTGCATATAGTCAGCAAGCCCCTCACACATCCAGGAATAAGCCCTGAGCACTAAGTGTGGCCCAAGGAGCAAAACAAACAAATGAATACTAAGTTTCAAGTTTGTGGCGATTACCAGACACCTTCATGATTTTGCAGTATAGGTTCAAATATTCACTGATTCCTGCTTGCCTAGACCTATATAACGTCAATCTAAAAAAGAAGAAACAAACATCATTAAGAACTTTTGTTAATATTTTATATGATGTATGGGTCTCTCAATTAAGAGAAAGTAAAGTGTAATTTATACTTACAGTAATTCAGTTTTTTTTTTGTTTTTTTAAGTAATTTATACATTAGATGCACATAAATGAGTCTTGGGGTAGCCCTTAATTCTTGCAACCTCATTCTGTTTTCAAAATCAACTGATTCATGTGCCATGTCTTTCTCTGGGAGGATGCGTGGAACCTTGCCTTTACACAGGGTTGAACAGGAAATGGGCCTTAAGGAAAAAGAACTTGTGGGCATATATCAAAAGCTAACGTAAAATGTGACACATTAGAGTCTAGTCAATACATTTCAAGAAAGACCCATAAAATTGTATAAAGTTGCCATATATCAGTTAGCTAAAGGTAAAGAAGCATGTAATAGAATTTAATGTGATTGAGGTGTTTAAAATAAGCAACTTATGTGTCAATAGATAACTCTTGGTGCCATTATAGGACAGATTCTGAAATATATGAAGATGCAGTAGAACTTCAGCAGTTTTTTATTAAAATTCGTGATGAACTCTGCAAAAATGGAGAGATTCTTCTTTCACCAGCTCTCAGCTATACCACGAAACATTTGCATAATGATGTAGAGAAAGAGAAAAAGGAAAAATTACCAAAAGAAATAGAAGAAGATAAACTAAAACGAGAAGAAGAAAAAAGAGGTTGGTTTATTTTCCTTTTATTAAATACAAAGAAAAAAGTATTTTTGCTGTTTTTATCCTTAGCTATGGGGAAAAGTATAGTACGTGGATATTGTGCCAATTCACTTTGATACACCCTTGTACTTCACACATGGGGGTGGCCCAGGTAATCTAAAAAGTATCACATCCCTGGACTCCAGCACTGAACCACTTGACCCAGTTAGATGAGAATCACTAAGAGGGACTTGCACATCACTTGGGAGTACTCCCTGCAAAAACCCAAAAAATTAAAATAGACATCTTAAGATGGAAACTTAATTTTTTTTAATTATTATTTATTATAGGATGGAAAGAAACATTTTTATCACTACCACTTTGGTCACCAGACTGGAAAAGATTACAATTACCGTGTGGCACAGTTGTTTTCCTAGTATTTCAGGAGCAAAGTCAATTAGTTCACAAATACGGGAGATGTAATAACTCTTGGTAACTTTAAGTTTAAGGGGCCAGAAAGCACTCTGTACAGTGAGTTCATCATTCTGTGGCATAACATTCCTCATACAGATTCTGGGCCCAATGAGGGTTTTTTTGGGTTTTGTTTGTGTGTGTGTGTGTGTGTGTGTGTGTGTGTGTGTGTGTATGTGTGTGTTTTTAACTTGTCCTTTTATTTATTGGCTTATTTTGGGTCATACCCACTGATGCTCATTTAATACTCCTGACTCTGCACTCAGTAATCACTCCTAGTGGTGTTCAGAGGACCATGTGGGATTTCAGGGATCAAACCCGGGTTGGCAGCGTGCAAAGCAAACGCCCTATCCACTGTACTATCGCTCCAGCACCCCCCCATGATATTTTAATTGAACCACATACGAAATTTCTATTGTTGTATCAACCTAGGGCTGGAGCGATAGCACAGCGGGTAGGGCGTTCGCCTTACACGCGGCCAGCATGGCCGACCCGAGTTCGATTCCTCCGCCCCTCTCGGAGAGCCAGGCAAGCTACCGAGAGTATTTGATATGCCAGGCACAGTATCAACCTAAAAATGTTACTTTGTGTCATTTACCACAATTTAAAAGTATTGATGGGCTGGAATGATAGCACAGTGAGTAGGGCATTTGCCTTGCACACGGCCAACCCGGGTTTGATTCCCAGCATCCCACATGGTACCCTGAGCATACTGCCAGGAGTAATTCCTGAATGCATGATCCAGGAGTAACCTCTGTGCATCACCAGGTATGACCCAAAGAGAAAAAATTAAAAAATAAAGTATTGACAGCCAATATTTGTATTAGAAATTTGATAATTTCTACTAAAGTTGAAGTGACATATATACCAATAATCCATGCTTTCCAAGGTTTATGTTAGTCTTTAGCATCAAATATGCATACAAGTTTTTTTCTCTTAGCAAGAAAATATGTTGACTTGAAAACTATTATCAGAAGCAATGGCATGTGCACAAAGAGAAGAAAGGAATGTAATTGGTGAAAACACTTTGATCAGCATAGGGCTAGCTATACAGTTAACCCACCTCAGCCAGAGGGATTACACGTTCAAGATTGATTTGAGTTTGTTAGAATGACTGTGGGACTGGAACGATACAGCTGGGAGGCCGTTTGCCTTGCACGCAACCGGCCCGGGTTCAATCCCCAGCATCCCCACCAGCAGTAATTCCTGAGTGTATCACTGAGTGTGACCCAAAAAGGATTAAAAAAAAAAGAAAAAAGAATGGCAGTGTTCTGCACATGTGTGGGGCAGGGAGCACTGTCTCACAGACAGTGCAAAAGCCAATGTGGTAAAGAGGTAACAGCTTTGAGAAATATCCTGGAAATTAAAAAGCCTTATAAAGGCCCTCCCGTTGATCGTCGATTTGCTCGAGCGGGCCCAGTAACGTCTCCATTGGAGACTTCGTTGTTACTGTGTCTGGCATATCGAATACTCTTGGTAGCTTGCCCGGCTCTCCGAGAGGGGCGGAGGAATCAAACTCGGGTCAGCCATGTTGGCCGCGTGTAAGGCGAACGCCCTACCCGCTGTGCTATCGCTCCAGCCCAAAAAGCCTTATAAAGACTGAAGTAAGTCCTCCACAGATTACTGACTGGCTGGAAAACTATATATATATATATATATATAGAGAGAGAGAGAGAGAGAGAGAGAGAGAGAGAGAGACAGAAAAGATGTGAGAACCTAGTGAAAAGCAGAATTCAAGGAATACCTGAAAATTGGTTGTAACTCAGTGCATCCCCCAAGCACATACAGAACAGTCAACAAAGACTCTCCTTTAGTTTAAGTGCTTGAGAACAGTCTTCGCCTAAACTGTTGATCAAACTTCAGCTTTCAAACATAGGAGCAATCCCTAATGACATATGCCTAGTACATATGTGGGAATCCCAAGGGAGAGAAGAGAAAAAATATCTGAAGACATAATGACTGGAAACTTCTCGAATTTGCTAGAAAACATAAAGCTACAGATCTCAAAATAACACACAAGGAAATAGCCACTGTCACTGTCCTCACGTTGTTCGTCGATTTGCTCGAGCGGGCCCAGTAATGTCTCCATTGTGACAATTATTACCGTTTTTGGCATATCGAATATGTCACAGATAGCTTACCAGACTTTGCTGTACGGGCGAGATACTCTCAGTAGCTTGCCGGGCTCTCCGAGAGGGGCGGAGGAATCAAACTCAGGTTGGCCATGTTGGCCGCTTGCAAGGCAAACATCCTACCCTCTGTGCTATTGCTCCAGCCCAAGGAAATAGCAAAAAAGAAAATTAAAAAAAAAAAATAGTGGGAGAAGCACCTGCGTTTTGCACACGAGACCATGATTCTGATCCTGAGTGCTCCTGCATGCATCAGACACAATCTGGGCAGCTCTGCTTTCTGTGATTCCCCATTGCCACAAGCAGTTTCTAGCTGCAAGCACTTCAACTAAGGGGTCTGGCTCCCAGCAAGCACCACTGATAAGCAGATAAGAGAGCACAGCCTCAGGTGTGTATCACCTGCCGAGCATATGCACAGTCACCACAGCAACTACCACCAGAATGTGCACAAGCATGACAGCTAAGGATTTGACCCCTGCTGAACACAGCACACACTGAAACTAGAGGAGTGTGACCCCTGGCAAACACCACGACTAAGAATGCAAGTCCTGCCACCTGCTTTGTGACCCTTTAGCAAGCACTGCAGCCAAAAATGTGTGTGTGCTTGTTTCAGCACCACACATGCTAAAATTGGAATGGCACAGATTAGCATGGCCCCTGTGTAAGGATGACACACAAATTCATGAAGTATTTCATATTTTTTTTAAAGAAAAAAATGTGTGAGCATTACAACCCACCGTTTGTGTGAACTCCCCTGGTCATAGTATCATCAACAGAGGGAATGAAAGGATTTAAGAGGAAAGAAATTTTTTTTTAATTTATTTATTTATTGAATCACTGTGGGAAAGGTTACAAAGCTTTCAGGTTTAAGTCTCAGTCATGCAAATATCAAACACATTTCCCTTTACCAATACTTATTTTTTACCATGAAGAACCCCAATAAAATCCCACCCCCCACCCCTCCCAGTCCCTGTGAGGCAGATGAATTCTAGTTAACACTCTATCTGCTTTGATTAGATTCATTGTTTCAATAAAAGATTCACCACTATTATTTAGAGTTTACCCCCCCCCAAATCAGACATGCTGAAAAAGCATTGTGAAGTGATTTGCTTTCTACAGGTGGGTTCAAGAATTAAATGTTGGCTTTGGATTTCTGCTATTTTACTTATTGACCCTGGAAGTATTTCTACTGAAAGTCAGATAGTTAAGAAATTGGTTTCTGTGCTCTGGAGTCGTGGCCGTGCTGGAGAGCCGCTCGTGGGGGGCAACTGGTGGCCTCGGTAGGGCGTGAAGCACGAGCGGCTCTCCAGCACGGCCACAGCCCCAGAAGCACAAGGACTTAATGCAGAACCCAGCATCTAGGAGCAGAAAAGTAAAAGGACTATGCGTTAATCCAGGCCATCATGTCTGCCTGGAGAGGAAAGGGTGTTGCTCCCTTCCGCCCTCCTCCCTCTGGAAAGAAAGATGGCGGCCACATAGGAGCCTTGTGGTCAGCAGGTATGAGCCTGGGGTGTGGGAGCGACTAAAACCTCATGGGAAGGGGGGCGTTTCGGTCCACCCTTCACGCCCTACCGAGGAAAGAAATTTTTTTAAGGTTTGTGGGCGACACCCTGCAATGCTCAGATGTTACTCCTGGTGAGCTTGGAGGACCATATGGGGTGCTGGGTATCAAGCCTGTGTTGGTTGCGTGCAAGGCAAATGCTATCTTCTACCCAGCCCCAATTTTTTTTTTTAAAGGAGAAATAGGTCTTTGGACAAGAACTCATGCTTTGTATGGAGGCCTCGGTGCAATCTCTTGCAATGCATTGTTCCCCAAGTACTACCAGCAGTAACATTCAAGCACTGAGCAGGAAAAGCCCTGAGCATCTTTTAGTGTCACTCAAAAACAAATGGAAACATACACACACACACACACACACACACACACACACACACACACACACAAGAAAACCACATCTGGATACAAAAACACATGAGGCCCAAAATCCAAAATTAAATTTATAAAGCAGTAGTGGGGTGGGGTTAGGGGGAGAGAAGAACAAAAAGACTTAAATAGTAAACTGGCAGAAGTGAATTCAGTTGTATAAATAATTATAAATTATAATTTGATTTTGGGTCACATACAATACTTGGGGGCCATTCCCAACTCTCAGTGTTTGCTCTTGGTGGTGCCCAGGGGTTCAAGTGTGTCCCCATCACTGCACGTGGTCCCCCAAGCGCCCCAAGAAGTGATCCTTGAGCACAGAGCCAGGCGTAAGCCCTGAGAACATCTTGGAGTGGCTCAGAAACCAAAAATAAAAGGAAAAGAGGTCATTTTTATGGCTGGATTGTGCCTTAACAATAGAAGCATTTACCTTGCCTATGTGAGACCCTGGTTTCAAGTCATGTTTACAAAAAATTTTTGTTGAAAAGCATTTAATCTCAAGAGAAGTGTTCGTATGTTCAATGTATATATATATATATAGTTTACAGTTTATTATATATACATATTCGGTATTTTCTCCATTCTAAAAATTATGACATCCATCTATAGCTTAGAGGAAATTTTTTCAGAAGCATTAAGGAGGAGATAAAAATGCATGATTATTTCTAGGTAGTTCATGAGTGATTTTTAAGTTTTTTATTTTGTTTTGTGGCCACACTTGGCTATGCTCGTGGGAAATTCCTGGCTCTGCAATCAGAGACTTAGTCCTGGCAGTACCCAGAAGACTATATGGGATACCGGGAATCAAATGGGTAGGCCACATGCAAGGTCTTACCAACTCTCCTACCTCTCCAGCTCCTCTTCATACATTTCTATATCATCCAGAATAATTGTACTGAGCATACATTTTAAAGCGGTCATCTTTATTCTGTAATTTTTTTGAATATGTATTGATACATTGGTGGTTGCTTGTAGCTCAAAAAGGTATTTTTTAGTAGAGACTGTTGGGAATGTAGAGAGCGTACTTGTTTGGCCTGAATCCTGCCTTTGAGTGCCTAGAAAATGATTTAATTGTTATGTATTATTGAAATCTTGCCTGATTCCATCACCCTGATGGTAAGAGCCTTATTCTCTTTTTGATCTCAGAAGCTGAAAAGAGTGAAGATTCCTCTGGTGCCGCTGGCCTCTCAGGCCTTCATCGGACGTACAGCCAGGACTGTAGTTTTAAGAATAGCATGTACCATGTTGGAGATTATGTCTACGTGGAGCCTGCAGAAAGCAACCTACTGCCACACATTGTCTGTATAGAAAGACTATGGGAAGATTCAGCTGGTAAGTTTGTTTTAAATCAAAAAACAAATGTGGCTGTTTTACTCATTGTTCTCAGAGAAGAAAATTGTAACTCATATTTTCTGTCTACCAAATAAGTACCTACTAAATAAAAAATACTGGATCTAGAACTGTTGAACAGTAGTCCAGTTGAGTCAAAGAAATACAACTTCTGGACTGGAGAGATGGCTCAGTTGGCTGTACTGCAAACTTCTTTTGCTGGAAGCTCAGGTTCAGTCCCCCGCATCTGTGTCACATGGTCCCCTGAGTGCTGCCAAGTGTAACCCAAAGACAAGAAAACGAAGGGAAGGGGAGGGGAGAGGAGAGAGATGCATATTGAAATCTGGATGAGATTCATTCAGTTGATACTAAAATCATAATATGAGGAGGGTCTTTGGAGACCGTTGAAATGACAAGACCTCATGCTTTGTGTAAGAGAGCCCCAGGTTCTATTCCCTGGTACTGCATAGTCCCTAGCACCAGCTGGAGTGACCCCTGAGCAAAGCCCCCTCACCCCTAGCAGAAAAAATCAAATAAATTGCTGAGATATATATCTTGTCGTGGGATTTGATTTTCAGAAAAATGCCTGAAACAGTTGCCTTTACCTTGAGACTTGAAAAATAAATGTTCATGAAGACAAAACCAGGCGATCCAAATCTTTAAGCTATTCATCATATAAAATGCTTTCAGATTTTTTTTACTGAATGCTAAATATGTTCTTTACTACAAGGTTTCTAAACCTTTTCTACTTGTCACCCCTTTTTGCCCAAGAAATAGAGCACAGGCAGGGCCGGGGGGGGGGGGGGGGGTGGAGAAAGAAATATAGCACAGGCAAGTGATGCTAGAAATACCTGTATTCAATACACAGTTGATTTAAAATTAATTTTTGGTGGTTATATATTCAGAAACTTGACTCTTTTCAATTTTTTGTGACAACCATCCCCTGCAAATGCAGTTACACGTGGTCCTCAGATTGAGAATCTGAGCTTCAGTGTAGTTCTGTCAGCACACGCCTGATCACCTGATCTGTGCTGATGTGTGTCCTGATCCTAGCAGAGAACAGTTTTATAGCCTTCCCTAGTCTGGATATTACACATATTTTGATAGAGGAGAAAGTGGGATTTTTGTTCATCTAAACTACTGTTTCCTCTATGCTGGTTATGTTAAGGGTCCCTGGTCTAAAAAGATCTATTCCTCTCACTAGGTTAAGAATAGAGTATTTCATTTTGCAAAGAAGGGTTAATTTCTGTTAATGTTAATTCTTCCTCTCTCCCTTTCTCTTTTGAGGTGAAAAATGGTTGTATGGCTGTTGGTTTTATCGGCCAAATGAAACATTCCATCTGGCTACACGAAAATTTCTAGAAAAGGAAGTTTTTAAGAGTGACTATTATAATAAAGTTCCTGTTAGTAAAATTCTAGGCAAATGTGTAGTCATGTTTGTCAAGGTAAGAAACTCATTCGTCATAAGTATAAATCATTCCACAAGAATAAAGTCTGTAAATCCAAAACATTGATGTTTACTGAATTTTTGTTTGTTTTAAGCTCATTTCTAAGCTGGAATGGCTTTCTGGATTTTTTTTTTAAGCTGGGTATTGCCATATCTCACAAAGATATGAGAATAAATTATCCTCAAATCTAATGTATTAAATAACATGATCATGAATGGGCATTTTTTGCTGATCCTATATAACTATAAACAATTAAGTTTTTTAAGAATGCTGTTTTCTGGGGCCAGAGCGATAGCACAGCAGTTAGGGCGTTTTCCTTGCACGCAGCCGACCTGGGTTCTATCCCCAGCATCCCATATGGTCCCCCAAGCACCATCAGGAGTAATTCCTGAATGCAAAGCCAGGAGTAACCCCTGAGCATTGCTGGGTGTGACCCAAAAAGCAAAAAAGAGAAAAGAAAAAGAGTGTCATTTTCTGAAAGATCCATGGCTTTTGGATAATACGATACTTTTTGTGTAATATAGGTACATGAGCTTTTTTTGGGTCACACCTGGCGATGTACAGGGGTTACTCCTGGCAGTGCTCAGGGGACCATATGGGATGCTGGGAATCGAACCGGGATCCGCCGTGTGCAAGGCAAATGCCCTACCCGTGGTGCTATCTCTCCAGCCCCAGGTGCATGAGCTTTTAAGGAACATTTTAGCTTCATAAAATAATGTATTATCAAAGGGGCAATTGATAAGCTAAAGTAAACTGTCAGTCTGTTTAATGTCTTTACGGTAGCAAGGAGAAATGCTCTTATAGCTTATAAAGATCTTTAGCCATTTCCATTTGTTCTTAACTGTCAGAAAGTCTTTATGGGCTAGAGAGATAGTAGATTGGGTATGGGCACTTGCCATGCACATACCTGACCCTTGTTCCTTTCCTGGCATCCCATGTGGTTCCCTGTGCTTGTCATGAGTGCTCCTGTAGCACAGAGCCAGGACTAAGTTCTGAGCACCACCAAGTTTGGCCTAAAACACAAAAACAAATTATTTGTTTACATGGTTAACGTGTTTTTGTTTTTGTGGTTGATTAGTTTTCAGAAACCAGTACCGGAGCAATAATACAGTGGGTAGGGCATTTGTTTTGCGTGTATATGACCTGGGTTTGATCCCCGGCATCCCATATCCCTGTGTACCACCAGAAGTAACCTCTGTGCATCACCAGGTATGGCCCAAAACTGAAAAAGAAAAAAAGTTTACATAACTAATCAATTTTATTCTTATACTTTCCAGGAATACTTTAAATTATGCCCAGAAAACTTCCGCGATGAGGATGTTTTTGTCTGTGAATCACGATATTCTGCCAAAACCAAATCTTTCAAGAAAATCAAACTGTGGACAATGCCCATCAGTTCAGTTAGGTTTGTTCCTCGGGATGTCCCTCTGCCTGTGGTTCGAGTGGCCTCTGTATTTGCAAATGCAGATAAAGTTGAAGATGACAAAAACACCGACAACTCAGAAGATAATCGAACTGAAGACAATTTTAACTTGGAAAAGGTATGTTAATAATAACCACACAGGGAAGAATTTTATATTTATGTATCGCATAAATGAATAGAATAATAGGTAAGTAAATAATAAATGAATAGAATATTCACAATCAGAAATAGAACAATATAAAATCTGAGCCAGAAGGAAGGAAAAACAGAAATTAAGGGACTGGAGATATTGTATGCAAATAAGGTCCTTGCTTTCATTCCCTGGTTTCACATATGCTCCCCCAAGCACTTCCAGGGGCCACTTCTGTGAGCACTGATGGGTGTGGCCCAAACAAAATTATATTTAGGGTGCTAGAGAGAGATGTTGTATAGAGTATAGTTATGCCACCAGTCCTGGTTCAGTTCCTGGCACTACATGGTTCCCAGAGCATCACCTAGAGGTCCCAGATAATGCCAGGTGTGGCCCTAAAACAAACACAAAACCTTTTAATTCAGGGCCAGAAGATAGCCCAGTGGGCTGAGTACGTTTTTTGCTCCATACAGGAGGCCTGGATTCAGTCCCTGGTACTGCATGGTATATGATCTTCCAAGCAGATACCAAGAACTGGCTTCAAAGCCCTTAAGAATAAGAAAGGAAATTTTAAATTCTATGTAAAGAGGAAACTTTATGAAATTTGACTCCTTAAACTCCTATGTCGAAGTCGTGAGTATGGAAAGGTCGGACTAGAGCTGAATCTTACGAAGACAATGTTTATGAGAAACAGCCTCGTTCCTGACGCCCCATTCGCTCTCAACGGAACGACCATCTCCGAATGCAACAGCTATGTGTACCTAGGTCGAGAAGTCAACATGACAAATGACCTGGCACCCGAGCTGCACAGGAGGAAGAGAGCGGCTTGGAACGCCTTCAAGAGCGTCGAAGAAATAGCTAAGAGAACGAAGAACCTCCGGCTCTGGACACATCTCTTTGATTCCACTGTTCTTCCTGCATTAACATATGCCTCAGAGACCTGGGTCCTACGCAAACAGGATGAGAACGCTATTCGGGTCTCCCAAAGAGGAATTGAAAGAGCTATGCTTGGAATATCACATTTCACTCAAATGAGAGAAAGAATCCGGAGTTCCGACCTCCGTGGACGATCAAGAATCAGGGACGCTGTCTCATTTGCCAAGGTGTTAAAAATCAGATGGGCTGGTCACGTAATGAGATTTAAAGACGACTGCTGGACTAGAGCTGTTAACGACTGGATTCCACGGGACGTCAAAAGACCACGTGGCCGCCCACCTACCAGATGGTCAGACTTCTTCATCAAGATCATGAACGATCGGTTTGAGGCTCTTCATGTTCCTAGAGCGAACAGACGCCATTGGGCTACACTAGCACACGACAGGGACAAATGGAGATGTTACTGGCACCTGCTCGAGCAAATCCATGATTAACGGGAAGTCAAGTGATAGAGTGAAACTCTATGTAACGATGTATGAAAGAGGCTACTTCTGAATACTGATACATTCTCTTCAGTTTGTTTTTACTTTTAATAAAAGTAGGGATGGGAGAATGGAAAAGAAGGAGATATTTTATAAAAATGTCACATTGGAATGACATTTTTGAAAGTGGAGGGTCTGGAGAGCTAGTATGGGACTTAAGAACACTTGCCTTGCCTTTAGACCATGCTTGGCCACCGCATATATGTCCCCTGTCATTGTCAGTAGTAACCCCTGGAGCATAGAGCGCAGAACCCCTGAGCACGTTTGGGTGGTGCCCCAAACAGAAAATACAGTTAACTGGAATTTAAAACCAACTATTTTGATTGCAGTGATATTTTTCTTTTGACTTTTTGTTTTCAAACTCCTGGCTTTGTGCTTGGTGGTCACACCTTACAGTGCTTATGTGGTTCCAGACCTCCTGCATGAACTCTCCTCAGCCCCTTATTGTGGTAATCATCAGTAATCCTTTAGTTTTCTGTATTCTTCAATGTTTCTATTTGTGGTTATATTTTCCTTCATGTTACTATAAAGGAAAGCTTGCTTTCTTTTCTGTTTTGTTTTTTGGTTTGGGCCCACAACCAGCTATGCTCAGAGCTTGCTCCTGGCTGTGTTTAGAGGTTACTCCTGGCAGGTTTGGGGGACCATATGGGGTGTTGGGACACAAATCTGGGTCAGCGGCATGCCAGACAAATGCCCTACCCACTATATGATTGCTGTGCCCCCACCTGCTTTCTTTTCTTACTGTTTCTGTTACTTGATTGTCAGCTGCATATCTTCAACTAGCTTTCTTTTTATAGGAGAAAGAAGATGTCCCTGTGGAAATGTCAAATGGTGAGCCAGGTTGTCACTATTTTGAGCAGCTTCGTTACAATGACATGTGGCTAAAGGTTGGAGACTGTGTATTCATCAAGTCCCATGGCCTGGTGCGCCCTCGTGTAGGCAGGTGAGCAGGGATGAGGTTGGTCTGATCTACTAAGATAAAGAATCAGTTGAAATAATCACTCTCTGGGATAAAGATAAGAATCCCTCCCCTAAAAACTTAGGCAGTTCGCATTATTCTCTAGCTACAGTTTTTTGGGAGGGGTTGGTTTGGTGTTTTTTTGTTTGTTTTTTGCTTTGCTTTTTCAGTCATATCCATCAGTGCTCAGGTGTTATCCCTGGCTCTGCACTCATGAATTACTCCTGGTTGTGCTTGGGACTATATGGGGTGCCAGGAATCAAACCCAGGTCGGCTACATGCAAGGCAAACAGTCTACCCACTGTACTGTCCCTCCAGGCCCCTAGCCACACTTATTTTAAATTCCTCCCATAAATTCAGTTTTGTTTCCCTTCTACCATTAACAGAACCCTAAAGTAGAACACTCTCCCTGCCTATTTCATACAGTGAAGTTCAGTTTAAAATGGCACTTCCAGGGGAAAAGGTGGTGGAACAGAGAAGGAACCACCAAGTAGATGATGATTGGAGGAATAGCACGGGGTGGGAGATGTGTGCTGACAGTAGACCAAGGACCAAACATGATGACCTCTTAATATCTGTATTGCAACTCATAATGCCCAAAATTAGAGAGTAAGAAGGAATGTACCTGCCTCAGAGGCAGGGGAGTGGGGTGGGGTGGGGTAGGGGTGGTGGGTGGAACACTGGAAACGATGGTGGTGGAAAATGTACACCGGTGGAGGGGTGGGTGCTCAAGCATTGTTTGACTGAAATGCAGTCATGCAAGTTTATAACTGTATCTCACAATGATCCAATAAAATTTCTTTAAAAAAAAATAAATAAATAAAATGGCACTTCCTTAGGGATGGCTTTGTATCCCTTCCAGAATGCATTCTTGTTACGTACTCTCGGGGCACTTTATATTATTGTTGGATTTCTCTGCCAGACTGTAGTACCCTAAGAATAGGAGTTCTGTCTTTTTGGCCACTCTGCTCCAAGCATAGAGCTCATATATTTGATAAACAAGGAACTGAATGGCAGTACTGTTGAGGAGCCAGAGAGGGAGTACAGCGGGTAGGGCACTTGCATCGCCAGCAGCTGACCCAGGGTTGATCCCCAAATGGTCCCCCAACATAACATCTCTAAGATTGCTCATTGAGCACAGAGCCAGGAAAGAGCCCTATGCACTATGGGGTATGGCCCCAGAAACAAACAATAAAAGGTACAGCTGAATAGCCTGAAACAATAGTAAAGGAGTCAAAGGGCTGAACAATAGAGGAATAGCAGTCAGGAACTATAGTTGGGGGGGCAGAGAAAGAGCTCAGTAAGCTGCACGTGCAGGGTGTCCAGATTTCATTCCCAGCAGTACATGGTCCCTGAGCAGTACCAGGACTAGGCCCTGAGCAACACTAGCTATAGCACTAAAACTAAAGAACATGGTTCCAAGGAACCTTCATTTAATTTCCAGCTCTACTAGTTTCATGTTCATAGCAGTTTTATTTTCTTTGTGTTTATTGTTTTTGGGTCACACCCTACAGTGCTTATGACTTATTTCTGGCTGTGCTCGGGAAACCATGTATGCTTCCACAAATCAAACTAGGCTCAGCCACATGCAAGGCAAACCCCTTACCTCCTGTACTATCTCTCCAGCCCAGTAGTTACACTCTTGAACTTCCGTTTCCCCTTCATCATTTGATTAACAATTTATTGTGTTCTTTGCCTTTTCTAGGCTTCAGGGATGCAATAGTAAATAAAACAAACTAATATCCTTAGTTCCATGGATCTTTCTCCTAGTGGGCAGTTAGTAAATACTGAGGATAAGTAGAGGGTATCATTCATGATGAACTTTGTTAGGTCATCCATGCTGAGGATGTGACAGGAATTGGGAATGCCATGGTTAGAAGTGACCACATAGAATATTCTAAGCAGTGTAGTCTACAGGTCTCACTGAGAGCTGACAGTTGAGCTGATACTTGAGGAAACTGAGGGAGTAATAATACCCAAAGAGAAAGTTTTCCAGAAGAAAGAGTAGGCAGTAGAAAGATTGGGTTGGGAGGAGAAAGAGAGAAAGGAGAGAGAGGAGAGGGGAGGCAGTGGTGAAGGGGAGAAAACCGGGGGGCGGTGGGGTGCTGGGGGTATAATCATGTGGGGTCCAAAGACAATAATAGGGGCTTGAGCTTTTATTGAATTAAATGGATTATTTGTTTCTGGGTTGGTTTTGTGGAGGTGGGGGAAGGATGCCCAATGGTGCTCAGGGTTTACTCCTGGCTCTGTGTTCACTCCTGACACAGTTTGGGAAACCACATGTGGTGCCAGGGATCAAACCCACCCACAAGGCAACCTCCCTGCCTGCTGTAATGTCATTCCAGCTGAAAATGGATTACTTTAAATCAGAAATGACATCTGCACCAGAAAGACTCAGCAGCCTGAAAGCATCTTATGCATGCAGGAGGCCCAGAATTGGGCTGACCTCTTAACATCAGGTAGTAGTAGCCCCTGGGCACCACTAAGTGTGGCCCAGAGACCAAAATAAAGAACAGATGACATCTGACTTAAGGTCTTGATTGTTTACTATCTAAAGACTATAAAAGGTCAAAAGTAGAAGCAAGAAGATTTTCTAGGAAACTTGTAATAATCTAGGCAGGAGTGATGTATAGATTTGGCCAAGTAGTCAGATTTGGGGGTTTATTTGGTTTTTTTTCTGGGAAGTAAGTTAGGCTGTACTCAGGGTGTTCTGAATCTGTGCCCAGGAGTGACTCACGGTGGTGCTCCAGGGAGCCATAAACGTGGTAGGACAATACCAGTATCAATGTTTGGAGTAGTTATGAGAAATAGTATGTTATCAAAGTAATTAGATTTTAATTTTCTAGGGGGAGGGTAACCATACCCAGTGGTGCTCGGGGCTTACTTCCTGACTCTCCTGGTGGCACTCAGGAGACCATATGGAGTGTAGGAGATAGAACCCAAGTGGTCTGCATGCAAGGCAGGTGCCATACCCACTGCACTGTCTCCCAGGTCCCTGATTGTAATTATTTTAGGAATATATGCTTCCAGAGAACAGAGCAGTAATACAGTGGGCAAGGTGCCTCCCTTGCATGTGACCAGCCTAGGTTCTATCCCCAGCATCGCATATGGTCCCTGAGCACTGCCAAGAATGATTCCTGATCATCACCAATAAGGCCCCTTCACCCCACCCCCCAAAATATATGCTTTCATCAGATTATCCAGAATTGGAAAGATATCAGATACTTATCTTCAAAAGATCATCATAAATCTTTGCCTCAAATGAATGTCTTCCACTTAATGTGGTTGACCTCATATACAAAAGATATTTATCCAAGTTTACAAGTCTAATAAAAGATGATTAGTTCTGTTTTCATCGTGAGCATCGGTGGGGGAAGGGGAGGGGACCTAGAGTCTGCTAAAACTGTTCAGTTTTTTCTACCTGGTATTAAGATACCTATTTTCAGGGGCCAGAGAGGTAGTATAAAGGTTCGTGCAGGGCTGGAGCAATAGCACAGCAGGTAGGTCATTTGCCTTGCACGCGGCCGACCCGGGTTCGATTCCCAGAATCCCATGTGGTCCCCTGAGCACTGCCAGGGGTAATTTCTGAGTGCAGAGCCAGGAGTAACCCCCGAGCATCACCAGGAGTGACCCAAAAAGCCAAAAAGAAAAATGTTACTGCATGTGCCCGGCATGCAGCCCTAGCTACTACCACCCTGCTTCAAATTCTGGTATCACATACGGTCTCCCAGCACTTTCAGGCTTGGCGTAGAGCCAGAGGTGGCCCCTGTGCACCACCAGGGATGACTTCAAAACAGTTCTCTCTCAGATGAATGTTTGGTCTGTTTCCCAGTATTTTCTATTTACAGGAGGTGGGGAGAATGTCTTATTATCCAAACAATGAAACTTCTCTAAATAAGACATATTTACGAACTTTTTTCATTTTATGTTGAATTAATCCTTCAAGAATCAAATTTCTCAGAATTCTGTTTTAATGGAATTTCTCCATTTTTTTTCCCCAAGAATTGAAAAGGTATGGGTTCGAGATGGAGCCGCATATTTTTATGGCCCCATCTTCATTCATCCAGAAGAAACAGAACATGAACCCACAAAAATGTTCTACAAAAAAGAAGTATTTTTGAGTAATTTGGAAGAAACCTGCCCTATGACATGTATTCTGGGTAGGTATTTATGTCTTTTCATGTAAGTACATTCATTCCACAATAATTGCACGCTTTTGTTGTACACCATTGTTTTAGGTGCTTTCTATAGAGCAATAAAAAATAAAAAATTGTAGTCTCTGGACTACATAGAGAGGATCAGGTTGTAATTAGGGCAATAAGTGAGAATAACGCCAAGTATAAAGAGTGGTGTTGAGGGGAGATTCTGTTTTAGTTAATGATGACAGCAGAAGCATCTTTTTTGGGCAGGGCAGAGGGTGGTCGTTAGGCCTCACCCACTGGTTCTCGAGGTTTACTCTTTGGGCTCAGGGCTCACTCCTGGCGCAGCTCGGGAGACTCTATGGGGTGTCAGGATCAAACCCAGGTGGGTATATGCAAGGCCAATACCCTACCTGCTGCACTATCTCTTCCACCCCAGCAAAAGCCTCTTGAGAAGTGCTATGTGATTTTAAGAGCCCTGAGGGATGTGGGAAAGAAACCATGGGAATGTCTAAACTTTTAAACTTTCAGTGCAACAAACACAAAATGTAAGACCGGTCTTCCTAGCTCTTGTTTTTACTGTCTGTGGATAATAGTCTCATATTAGGCTTTTTCATATCCCACAGATGAGTGCAATCATTCTATGTCTGTCTCTCCTTTTGATTCATTTCACTCAGCATAATACTCTATGTCCATTCATTTATAAGCAAATTTTATGACTTCCTTTTTCCTGGTGACTGTAGAATTCTCTTATGTAGATGTACCATTGTTTCTCAGAGTAGTTCTTATAGTGTGAAGAAATTGACTTTGGCGAGGAAAAGCTCCTGAGGGATGAGCAGAGAGCTGATGTGAACCTGTGTGCACATTAAAGGAATTTCTATAACTATAGCATGGAGATATAAAGGAATCACTTGTATCACTTGTCATCCCATTGCTCATCGATTTGCTCGAGAGGGCGCCAGTAGCGTCTCCATTCGTCCCTGTTGCATGCTAGTGTATCCCAATGGCATCTGCTCGCTCCAGGAACACGAAGAGCATCAGACCATTCTTTTCTTTTCTTTTCTTTTCTTTTTTTTTGCTTTTTGGGTCACACCCAGCAATGCACAGGGGTTACTCCTGGCTTTGCACTCAGGAATTACTCCTGGCAGTGCTCAGGGGACCATATGGGATGCTGAGAATCGAACCCGGGTTGGCCATGTGCAAGGCAAACTTGCCTGCTGTGCTATCGCTCTAGCCCCAACATCAGACCGTTCATTCAGGGTGTCAACATGCAAATATAAAGGAATAAAGTAGATATATTTGTCTACAAATATATCTCTTGACATTATTTGTATACGAATACAAATACATTTATTTGTATACGAATATTTGACAAATATATTTGTGATAATATAAAGGAATAAAGTAGAAAATTAGGAAAACAGATAAACGACTTTTATAGGCATGAGACTTAAAATTCTAGTGGTAGTTTTGTTCCCACTCCTAAAATATGAAGGATTTGTACTTTGATTTCTGTTCAGTGATTGTACTGAGAGTTCATGATGGCATTCTATTTCTCAGGTTTATTTATACTTACTGTCATTATTTTCAGCTATTCTGTTTCCTCTGACACTGTTACTCTGTAGTTTATTTACGCTAGCTTCTCTAAATTTACAGCTTTTGGAATACTTTCCCAGAGCTTACTGGTTAGAAATTTTATATTAATTATACATGATTGTAAAGAAGAAACACAGCACTTACAACCAAAGGGAAATTAACAGATTAAAAATTATTTTGGAGGGCGTGAGTGATAATACAATGGGCAGGGTGATTGCCTAGCACATGGCTGATCCAGATTTGATCCCTGGTACCCCATATGGTTTTCCGAGCACCACCAGGAGTAACCCCTGAGTACTGCCAAAAAATAGACGAAGAAAAAGAAAAAATATATGTTGGTGACCTACAAGAGAGTACAGTGGGTTAGGCACTTGCCTTGTATGTGGCTCGCTCATGTTTGATCCCAGCACCCCTTAAGGACCTCAAGCACTCAGGAGTAATCCCTGAGCACAGAGCCAGGCTGTGGCCCAAAGATGAAAAGTAAAGAACCAAACCCTGGTTTGCTATTATTGATTTTAGGTTGTTTGGTTTTGTGTTGGTTTTGTTGGGGGTGGAGAAGGGGGGCGTGGTGCTCAGGGCTTACTCCTAGTTTTGTGTTCAGGTGACCTTATGTGGCGCCAGAGATTATTTTAATTATTTCAGTTTTTGGTTTGGGGCCACACCTAGCAGTGCTGGGGGATATTTCCAGTTTACTGTTAATAATTTGCTTCAGGCAATGCTTGAAGGCATTTTGTGCCAGGGATCAAATCTGGGCTTCTTATATGCAAAGCAAACATTCCAGACCTTTGAGCTATCTCTCCTTTGTTGATTAATTGGGTTACTTGTCTCACTTTATTATAGGATTGATACACTGTATATCATTATTATACTTTCTAGATACTAGACTATACTGGACATAAGGATTTTGCAAATATTTTCCTTCTTTAGGATCTAGTATTCACTCTCTTGGTAGTGTCCCTTGAAGCACATAGCTTTTTCATTGGGATTGGGGCCTGGAGCAGTAGTACAGTGGGTAGGAAGCTTGCCTTTCTTGTAGCCAACCGGGTTTGATCCCCAGCATGCCAAGAGTGATCCTGAGTACAGAGCCCAAAGAAAGCTCTGAGCACAATCTGGCATAGTTCACCCCACTCCCAAAAAAGTTTTTCATTTTGGCAAAATTCAGTTTGATTGCTTATTAGTTTGATATCACGTCTAAGAACCATTGCCTAATTGAAGGTCACAAATTGAAATTGAAGAGTCATGTAGTTATAGCTTTTACAATGAAGTCTTTGAGTTAATTTTTGCATATGGCATGAAGTCTAGAAATCCTACTCCATTCAACATCTCCATTCTTCTGTGTCTGGAAATCCAATTATCCCAGCACTATCTCTTGAAGAGACTGTTCTTTTTTCAATTGTTTTGTTTTGGAAGTCTTCTGGAAAGTAATCGCCCATAAAATTCCAACTTTGCATGTTTTATTTTCCAACTCTGAATTCTGTTCCCAGTGCTTGCTTCAGCAGCACATATACTGAAATTGAATTCTGTTCCATTGCTACCTGTGTGTGTATCTGCTCCCCCTGACCTTTCCTCTTTTGATGGGGTGATGTCTAGGAGTCGGGCACATGCATGGTTGTGGTGCTTATGCTTTGGTGCTCACTGAGAATTGTACATCAGGTTGTGGTGTTCAGTCATGGTACTTTCCCAGGATCACAGTCCCTTAGATATAGTACTTATACATTAATTGTGGTGCTCACACATGTCGCCTTTCAGAGTGCTCACATGCTACCTTGCTGCAGAGATCACTTTTGGCACCACACGAAAGCACAGCTGCCAAGAATTAACAGCAGATTGCCAGGATCATGCTTAACACATGTGGGTGGCACCAAGAATTAAACTTCTGACCTTATGTTTACAGGACAGGTGCTTCAGCCACTGACCCATCTTTCAGCCCTCTACATGTATGCACTTGTGCCACTTGTTATCCTTTATATCTTTTATCTTTTGTATCATATGAATGGGGTTTTGGTTTTAGTTTTTTATTTTGGTTTAGTTTTTTGGCCACACCCTGCAGTACTCGGGAATCACTCCTGGCTCTGCACCCAGGAATCACTCCTGGTGGTGCTCAGGGGGCTATATAGATGCTGAAAGTCCAGCATGGGCAAGCTGAATGCAGACAAGCACCCAACTGTCTCTCTGACCCGAATATATTCATTCAAAAATAATGAAGGGCTAGAGAAATAGGAGAGAAGGTACTTGCCTTGCATTTGGCCAATCCTGGTTTGGATCCCTAGAATAATATGTAGTAACCTGAGCACCAGGAATGAACCCTGAGCACTCCCAGTGTGTCCCAAAACCTCCCTTAAAAAAGAGAAATTTGGGGGTTGAGAGATAGTTCGGGGACTAGGCACTTGTCTTGCACACACCCAGCTCGATCCCCAGCACTACATATGTGTACTGAGCACTGCCAGGAGTGATATCTGGGCATAGAGCCTGAGATCAGCAGGCTCTGCAAAAGGAAATTGTGGAATAATTGTTAGCTATAGTCATAATTTATTCTTTGAATTTCCTTCATTTTTCTCTTTTAGGAAAATGTGCTGTGTTGTCTTTCAAGGACTTCCTCTCCTGCAGGCCAACTGAAATACCAGAAAATGATGTTCTGCTTTGTGAGAGCCGCTACAATGAGAGTGACAAACAGATGAAGAAATTCAAGGGACTTAAGAGGTTTTCACTCTCTGCAAAAGTAGTAGACGACGAGATTTATTATTTCAGGTAAAGCATGAAAACCTAAGGAAAAAACATTTTGACTCACTGATATTAAAATAGCATACAGCTCAGGATGGTTTTTGTTCACAGTTTCATTGTTTCATGAACTGGAGAAGTGAACTTGAAAGAAATTCTCAAGTAGAGAATTTAAAGATTGGGGTGGGCTGGAGAGGTAAAATAAGGATTAAGATACTTGCTTTGCATCCTGATGACCCCAATTCTAATCCCTGGCACCATATATGGTTCCCCAAGCACCACTAGGGGACATTCCTCAGTACAGAGCCAAAAATAGCCCCTGAACACTGGCCAAATGTGGCCCCAAACCAAAAATTTAAAGATTGGGCTAAGAAGGGCTAGGGAAATAGTACAGCAGGTAGGGCACTTTCCTTGCACACAACTGATCTGGGCTCCATCCCCAACACCCCATTTGGTTCCCTGAGCTCAGAACTAGCAGTAAGCCCAGAGCACAGCCAGATGTACCCAAACTTTCCCCTCCCTGCCTCAAAAAAAAAAAAATTAGCATCAGAGAGAAGTTCATACAGTTGAATTTGCATGCATGCAGGAGGCCTGGATTATATCCGCACATGTTCCCCAAAGCATCACATGAAGCAAACCTTAGCCAACGTGGGTGTGGCCCAAAACCAAAAAATGAAAATACAGGAAAATCCTCACAGTCTTCTGAGAATCACCTCTAATAGTGACCTTGATATAGATTCTAGTAATAGTAATAAAGGGAGAAATCTTTCATTCTAGCTCATAGCCTACTTGTTACAGAATTGAAGAGTTCTACAGATTATGAAAATTCTATTTGAGGTTTCAGGGGTTTTGTTTATTGGCTATACTTGTTCTCGAGCTTCTTCTAGTGCCATATTTAGGGGCAATTTCCAGTAGTGCTGGGGGACCATGTGGTGCCAAAGATCAAATCCCTGGGTTCCCACATGCTTGGTATGTGCTCCAACCCTTTGAACCATTCCCCATCCCAAATTATGAAAATTCTTTGGCTGTATTTGGCCAATTAGATCCCAGCTTTGGACTTAATGCTTTTGTAGGTATTTAGCCGACTCCTCTAAAAGTAAGCATTTGTATAATGTATGACTTTGTTAATACAGTTGTTTCTTGATTTATAGTAGTTCAGCATGGATTTTTTTTTTCATAGTGGTGTGAAAGACATTGACATTCTGTTGAAATAGCAGTATGTTGTCCTTTGGTAGCAGTAGCAAGCCATGGGTCCCAATTACCATTTTCAGCTCGGATACTTTCATCTTATGATGGCTTATCAAAACATAATCCCATAATCCCTGTACACATTTAAATTCTTTCCTTTGCTGTTTTTAGAGTACAGATTGCTGAAACTTTTCTAATTATTAAGGCAGAACACAGCTTTCTGAACAATTCTGGAGTGATAGTATGTGATTTGATTTTTCTTTCTATGTTACTTCTCTTAGAAAACCAATTGTTCCTCAGAAGGAGCCATCACCTTTGTTGGAAAAGAAGATTCAATTGCTCGAAGCAAAATTTGCTGAGTTAGAAGGTGGAGATGATGATATGGAAGAGATGGGAGAAGAAGATAGTGAGGTCATTGAGCCTCCTTCTCTACCCCAGCTTCAGACTCCCCTGTCCAGTGAGCTGGATCTTATGCCCTACACACCCCCACAGGTGAAACTGACAAGTTCCTATTACTTGTCTTATTCACAGCTTAGATTTGCAGCAGACTCAAATCAAAGTAAGGACATTTCCAGTCCTGAGTATTGAACTGCAAGTCAGAATTGTGCAGGAACAAACACCTTTTTTTCCCTTCCCCTGGTGAAGGGGTTTGGGGACATATCTGGTAACACTCACTGGTTACCCTGAGTTACCATCAGTTCTAGGGTCCAACCAGGACCTCCTGTGTTTGCAAAGCATGCACTCTAACCCTTTGAGCAATCTCCTGGCCTGCCTTTAGTGTGTGTAAATGGGATTTTTTTGTTGTTTTTTTGTTTTGGGGCCACACCAGCAGTGCAGGGCTTACTCCTATCTCTGTGCTTAGGAATCACTCTGAAGACTATAAGACCATGTGGAATGTCATGGATTAAACCCGGGTCAGCTGTTTTCAAGGCAAAATGCATGTGCTATCTCTCCAGCCCCAGCGTATTTTTGGGTTTTGTTTGTTTTGGAGGTCCACACCTGATGGTGCTCAGGACTTAGTTCTGGGTCTGCACTCAGGAACCACTCCTAGCGGTGCTTAAGGGGATCAAACTCGGGTTAGCCACGTGCAAGGCAAGTGCCTTACCCACAGCAAGTTGCTCCAGCCCCAACGTTCATTTATTTCTTACATATTAAGAGGCAAGAAAGAGAATTGTTTTGACCATGAAAATGACCATCTATAAACGAAACATATCTATAAAATAGTAATTATTAACTTACATATTCCTGGTTTCCAAAAACTTGAAACAGCCAACAAAATGCAGTGTTCTGATGCACTATAAGAGCTTTCTGTCTTGCAGTCTACTCCAAAGTCAGCCAAAGGCAGTGCAAAGAAGGAAGGCTCCAAGCGGAAAATCAACATGAGTGGCTATATCCTCTTCAGCAGTGAGATGAGAGCTGTGATTAAGGCCCAGCACCCGGACTACTCTTTTGGTGAGCTCAGCCGATTGGTGGGGACAGAATGGAGAAATCTTGAGACAGCAAAGAAAGCAGAATATGAAGGTAAATAGCAATCAGGCCCAACTGTCTCAGCTTTCTAGGAAAAGGGTGTTTTGCAGGAATGTACGTACTCAGGCTTTACTCTTGTTCTTGCCACTTACACATGAGCTTTGGGGGACTGTCTCAGCTGGTTCCCATTCAGCTGTTTGAGCCTTCTCCTAACTGAGCAAGCATTGCCCCTGATTAAGCCTCTGGTCTTGGTATAGCTTTTTATTTCCCCAAATTTCTGACTTTTCCTGTTAGAAAGTGTGACTTTCTTCTGTCATTGAGTCCCATAAGCATACATGTGTTGAGCTTATACAAAGGTTGTTAAGTGTAATTTTGATTAAAAGTCATCTGAAAAGGGACTTTCAAAATCAGTGACCTTCTGATACAGCTCTTATAAAGCCTGATGTTTAAACTTTAGCCTGAAACACTTGATGTCCCAGGCTGTCCTGGTCTGTGCTATATTTGCATTCATAGTTAGTTGTTAGGTTCTTAGAGCAAGGAGGGAGAGGGCGGAATGGGTGTTTGATAGAGCTCAACTGCCTTCATTTTGTTTCACTCTGTATTAAATCATTTTGGGCCGTGTAGGATTATGTTGGTCTTTGCCATATAGAAAAAATACGTGAAGAGATGTTTCGTTTGGGTTTTTTCATTTTTAATATTAGTCTTGACTTTCATTAAACTTAGGTTAGGCAGGACTATTTCCCCTAGAGCTGATTTTTCTTCCCCATTTTAAATTGTATGTCATTGTTAATTTTGCGTTTAGAGCCATCTTTCAAGAGTTGACCACAGCGGTCAACCTTTACTCTTGGCCAGATTCAAGTCCATTATTTTTTCAGCAAAAGCAAATGTTTATTTAAAAATTATTGTTAAGCTTATTTCCTTTGTTAAAGTTTTGAATTCTCCAAAGACATTCATAAATTGTCTTCGAGTTCTTAAGGATCTTTAGAGTTCTTAGTTCTACAAGATGTTCATCGAAAAAAACACTCGTAGTCAAACTGGTTTGAGAAGCACCATAAAACTTTCTCTTAGAAATTTGGAGTGCATGTTCACATATTAAAATCCTAAGATTTACCATTTTAAAAAAAAAGACTTTGTTTTTTTTTTTTTTTAACCTGGTACTTTTAGAGCTTCCTAAAACCTGACACAGCAATAGTACAACAGGCAGGGCACTTACTTGCCTTGCACACAGCTTACCTGGGTCTGATCCCTGCTACCTTATATAGTCTCCAAACCTGGCAGGAGTGATCTCTGAGTGCAGAGCCAAAAATAAGCTCTGAGCACCACCGGTATGGCCCAAAAACAAAAACAAAAAAAAATTTTTTTTTGTAATGTTTGATCAAATGTCTATGTAATACCTAGTAATGTTCTAAAGGACGGCTATTTTTCCAAAGCATTCTTTGAGAACCCTAGTTCCATAAGTAAGAAACTAAAACTTCTGAGAATTTTATTACCTCTGACCTTAGTGATAAAAGCAAAGATATAAGGAAATATACTTTTTGATTTTCATATTCTCATACAGAATTAGGTGAGTGAAAAAATCACAGGATGTCAAGCCTGCTCCAGGGCAGATGAAGCCAGTACTGGGGGATTGCTTAGAGTGCAAACAGCAAAGAGAAGTGTGTCTAGAAATAATTATAGTAATGAAAATCCTGCAGCAGGGCTAAGACAAAGAAAGGATGGCTTCTGGGAGATTCTCCAAAAGTCACAGAGGGATTCCATGAGAAGCCTGAAATTCAGTGAGAACCATGACTCATGACTCATCGGTGTCTGCCTGAGAAATCTGAACTTTCGATGCTCTGATCTATTGGATTCAAAAACCAATGTTTGGAGTTTGGCCACTTTAATTTTAAAATACTCTTTTCCAAGACAGCCTAATTGGACTTCCTCTAGAAAGAACCCATAAGTAGCTAAGTCATTATTCATTCCACCAGCCTGAATTTTTTTTAACTTTTTTTTTCCACTCTCCCATTTTAATCTCATTTATGTAATGAAGATACCATAATTTAATGTGGGGGTCTAGATTATCTTTCTTTTTTTTTTCCCTATTAGATTAAGGAAATAGGTTGTTCATTTGGCCTTTGTCCCTCATGTTCATAAGTAATGACAAGTATATGCAGGCAGCTCTGTTGCAACAAGGAGGCTTTGACTTTATTGATTTTCATATTCTCATACTAAAAGGACAGGAGCTGTTGCTTCTTAATTCTCTTTAAAGACATGCGACCTCAAATATTTCCCCCCTCCGAGTTCAGCCAACAGTAGCGTTTTGAATTCCATGTTGAGGGTCAGTATGTGGCATTTGGAGTGTGCTACCAAGCATCAGGGCCACAGGTTTTTCGTTCTGTTTCCTTGGGCAAGTCACTACCTTCGTGCCAGCCTCAGTTTGCTCATGTGAAAAGTGGAGAGGACTTCTTACTAATGAACAGTAAACATGCATGACTTGTAGGCGCTTGGAAATACATGTTTCTAGAGTCTCTAATATTAGAGTCCAAACAGCCAGCTCCCAAAAAGACATGGACTGTGATTGTTGGAGCTGCTGGTTATGGAGATACAGACAGCATAGCTCAAAGGAGTCAGAGGATGTAGCAGGTGTGATCTACAACCCAGTACTGGCACATCCAAGTGCTGCTCTTGCACTTTGGGTAGGATAAGAGTGAATTCTGGATTTTTTGCTGATTTGGGATGATTTTTGGTTCGTATTGAACTTCTCAGCTTCAGTTAACCTGGTTCTGTCAGTACATCGTCCATTGCTTCATATGTGTATGTATAATTCTCTGCTTCTATGACTGTAGCCTGGAGTATCATGCATTTATCCCTCGGGGTTTATTAAACATGATCTCTTTGCTTCAATAATTAGAATGTAGAAACTAGTGTATATTTTCCTAAAACCTTGTGGAGGAGGCAGTAAGCTACTTTTCCCTTACAGAGTTAATTTTCTTCAGCTGCTAAACCTCATGACACTAATGACAAGAGTCCTCAATTCTTAGTAAAATTGGGTGCAAGGAATCAGGAAAATATAGTAAGTAACAATTGTGCCAAAAATTACAATGGGCCATGGAATTGCTTCATGTTGAAATTATAAATAATTTGTAATGCTATTAATATTAGAATAATGGTAGTGCTTCTCATCTTCAGGGTGCCTTGTGAGATTAACCACGTTGGTTACGCTGGTGACGTGTTTAAATAAAACCTGTGCTTTCTGAATGTGTGTTGCAGTCTTAACATTCTTGAAATCTTTGCAGACCAGTTCTCAAGATGGGATAGGAAAGCTGGACTCTAGGTTATCAAGTGAAATCGGCCCGACTCCTCCTGTGTTGAGACTAGTCATCTACTGTTCCTTCCATTGAGACAGAACTGTTGCCTGTGTTTTCACTAGTCCTGTTGAATGCAATGGATGGTATTTTGAATTCCTGGGTTAAAAACAGAATTGAAAATCTGAAATGCCTTTACAGAGCGGGCAGCTAAAGTTGCTGAGCAGCAGGAGAGAGAGCGAGCAGCACAGCAACAGCAGCCGAGTGCTTCTCCCCGAGCAGGCACCCCTGTGGGGGCTCTCATGGGGGTGGTGCCACCACCAACACCAATGGGGATGCTCAATCAGCAGTTGACACCTGTTGCAGGTAAAAACAGGAGCTAAGACCATTTTTTTTCCACTTTAAGAAATTCCTTCATTTTTTTTTTTTCTCCAGTGAGGAGTAGGCCACAGTTTCTAGACTTTTCTCATGACAGAGTCAAAGTTTGAAATCATCCACGTTGTCCTTAAATCGCCTTTCCCAGTGCCTCCCCTCTGCCCCAGAAGTGGGCCCTGGGCCCAAACCTGGGAATTGGTAGGGAGCACTTCTTCCCTGGCTGTGGGCAGGGTCTGGCGATGTTCTTCACCCCAGGCAGCTCTTGGTAGAGCGGCATAGCGGAAAATATATAAAGATCTTGAATTCTGTTCTGGAGGGGCGCCTAAGAGAAAGTACAAAATTAGTCTTTAGGTGATGTTGATGTCCTGTCTCATTCCAGTATTCAGTTTTCCTTGTTCTACTGCAGCCATCCTTAAAAGACTGACCATTCAAAAGGATTTTTGACATGAATTATAAATCCTTTCTTGGTCACCAGTGTGCATGACTGCTAAGTGGAATACAAAGTCCTTGTTCAATTCATTGTGCCCACTCTGTAATGCTTTTCTATTTAATTACATTAAACTGCATTTTCTGTTAGTATCCCAGTCACATTTTTTTTTTCAAAGAAAATTATGAATGTGGTTTGCTTGTGTGTGTCGTCTCTGTTCTGGTAGCCATAGCAAATCTGGCTGTTCTTGAATTGAATATGCTTGTCTTATACATGTAACCAATGAGAAGCCTGCAGACCACTTTGAGGGTCCGCGTTCATGATCTCACTGAGCCTGGTGAGGAAGTACAGCCATGCAAGCCACCTGTGTTTCTTCTGAAGCAAGCCATCTGGCCTCTTTGCAGGGAGTCCAAGACAGTGTTGTTCAAGGCAGAACTCATTGGGATGCTGTTTTCGTTTTTGCTTTTTTTTTTTGTATTTGCTTTCTAAGGAAGAGTAGCATAAGGTAACTTTCCATTGTCGCTCTTACCTTTCGTGATGGCAAGTTCTCAAATGCACTGTCGCAGAGCTCAGCAGTTGCACTCGCCAAAGCACATCTGAATCATGACTTTTCGATACTTTCAGTGTAACTGATGTTGATCTAACAAATTTCATAATCGCCTGCTCTATTCCATGGCCCATTTTGGTTATTGAGGTTCCAGAGGTTTGTAGAAATCAGGCCTTGAATGTGGGGACTTTGAAAGCTAGAATTCCCTTGTTAAGATCCTGTTTTGTTTCATTTGATATGTGATACTGTAGCACTGCGTCCTTGACTACAATGTCCAGGGACACATTGGCAAAATGGATTCAAACAGCTAAAAATAAAAAATAAAACAGCAGCTGCAGCATTTTAGCTCCCTGTTGGGGAATAACATCGTAGAACTCTGGTGGTTGAGGAGGATCCAAGCCCCTTCCAGAAAGCCCCCACTCTGTTATTAAGTGATTGCTGCCCTACTCGGCCACAGGAGTGGAGGGTACACATTCTCAACAATAACCAGTCTTTGGTCCACCGTGGCAGCTTTGAAGCCAGGAGCGTGATTTTTCATGGACTGACAGGTTGGTTCTTCAGCTCTAAGTTTTAGCCTTGTTGCTGTCTGAGGCCAGCTTTGCTTACAAGCATCGAAGCTCATTTGAACTCATGTGACTGGGATAATAAGTGCCAAAGTACAGTTTAATGAAGACAGCGTCGTGTCTTTTGATTCTTAGTAATTTCTATAACCACAGCCCATGAAGGCTGTGTTCAGATGGGCTTTTGTAATTGAAAGCAAAGCCTCCTAACATTCTTAAATTCCCACCTGCTGATCCCTGAAACGTGTATCTGGTGATGTGGTTAAAAGGCAGTTTGGTAGCATTGGATTGCCTCATGTTTAAGATATTAATGTTTATTCAAAAGTAGTTTTTGCTCTGTGAATGCTCATTCTTTTTTTAACAATGTATAACTCGATTTCATATATGGAGGTATTTCTATTTAAAAGTTTATTGATCTGTGTAACTGTATGTTTTCCAGTCAGCTTAGATAAGACTAATGAAGCCGGCTGAACCAAACCTCAGGGTTTTCAGTAGTTGTTTACCTTTAGAAAGCTTAAGTTTCTATAATTAAGTATCTTCTAAGTAATTCTTCAGGGAAAATCAAAAGCGTAGTTTTCAGATTCTGGAGTTTTACATTATGTCCCAGAACCCTTCCACAAAGAGTGTTTTATAAAAACGAGGCCTGGCACCAGTTCGTCCACCATCCCTTTGGGCAAGAAGCTCTAGCCAAAGATCATGGCAGTGGCTGGGGGATAAGGCAAGTGGAGAAGCCTTGGACTCGGTACGTGGTGTTCGCTCCAAATCTCAGGAAAGTCAAGTTGTTTCCTTGTTTTTAAAAATGTCATGGCTTTAAAGGTCTTTTGATAGGTGAGTCTTTGACTTTTTTTTTTTAATTATTTTCTTCCTTTAACTCCTTTTTGCCAGACACATTTATATATTGAAGCTCTTCCCTAACCAACAGAAAGTTATTTTGTCATGTGAAGACGCACTTAAAAAAAATAAAGGAATAATAAAGGAATAAAGCCTCTGTTCACAGAAATTCTATACCTCATTTAAAGTACTCCCTGTTAATAAAAGGTTACTGTGAGGGTATTTGTGAACTTGGAGACGGTGAGGACAGTTGACATTTCTCGTGTCAGCAGAGCCCGATTCTCCAGCTGTTCCTCCTGAGGTACACATTCAGGCTACGAAGTGACCAGAGCTTTGGTTGGATTGGGAGACTTTAGGTTTTATCATTTTCATGTTTTGGTAACTAACGTTGATGTGCCATGATGGCTTTTAGCAGTTGCCCCAGCTCAAGCCCAGGAATGATCCATTCTTAAGCAGCAGTCGTGCAGCTAGAAGAGAGAAAGAGTGGATGTAGATGTCCTGAAAAACGCTTTCCCTTCGGCTGGAGAATCATGCTTTCTGATCAGGGCTGTGCGCTTCATTTCCCTCCATTCCAATTTCCCCTCATGTGTACCCATGATCAGCAAATGAGTGTGGGCAGAGTGGAATAATAGAGTTTCTTATGTTCAGTTAGAATTGCAGTTGGCAGAACTGGTCACTCTGAACAGTGTGCAATGATCATGATTGTGGAAAGACTGTTAACTGGAACTACTCTCATTTTACTGAAAACTTGCAGTGTATTTATCCCAGGGAAAATAACTACAGAATATAATATACTAAGTACTAATTCATCCAGAAATGTTGGGTTTCATATTGTAACTTTTTATTTTGTTCATTATTGCAACAAAATAATTACACTAATTGCTGTTATATCATGCAGTACTAAGGACGCTTTATTCATTAGTAGTTGCATGGGGTTGGGGGGTGTTGTTATTACTTAGCTCATGTTGCATGTTAATGATGCATGTCTGAAATTTGTTGTGTCCTTCAAGGCATGATGGGTGGCTATCCGCCAGGCCTTCCACCTTTGCAGGGCCCAGTTGATGGCCTTGTTAGCATGGGCAGCATGCAGCCACTTCACCCTGGGGGGCTTCCACCCCACCATCTTCCACCAGGTGTGCCCGGCCTCTCGGGCATCCCACCACCGGGTAAGAACTTCATCCTCATTCACTCATTAATCTCATCTTCATTCTTTTTTTCCTCCCTCAGCCAGTTGTTCCAGGAGGTACCTGCTGCCCATCATGGCCAGGCCTTCCTTCATTGAAAGTCCCAGGGATATCAGCAGCAGTCCCTGTGCCCTTGGGCTCAGCAGTAGCACAGGACATATGTCAGAGACTAGCCTCAGAAGACCAAGAGGCAGAAGGCATGCTCTAAAGTGACTCAAACAATTTGGCATGTGTTCAGAAAGCCAGGCATATCCTAGAAGGTCATGCATGCCCTCTGTGTCAGTGAATGAAGTTTCCTACATTGGTAGTCCAGAGTCACATACGAAAATACTTTCCTAAAAGGGAGCACTTTTTGCTCATGAGTAAATTTCTTCCCCTAGAGCAATAAGTCCTGCTCAATCTCTTGCTTTTCAAACAGCCCTGTCAGAGGGGCTACTGAGTCACTAATGTAGAAGTAATTCTCTTCAAGATTCTCCAAGTCTGTCTGTCTCAGCAAAAGAAAAACAGGAGGGAATGATTTGACACTCAAGTAATTTTCTGTATCTGCAGAAAACTACTTTTGTCCCCTAAGAAATATGACATAATATTTTAAAGAATAGAAGGTTCTTTAAACAGAAGGTTCATCTATCAACAGGTCAAGTTTTTTAATATAAAATATAAGTATAAAAATATAAATATGAAATATAAAAAATGGAGTCCAGCTAGCTATATTTTTACTTTATAATTAATTAGTAAGTTTAAAGATTGTAATGAAAGAAAAATTACAAATTCCCCTATCAGTTGCTATCATCAACTTACCTTAGCTATGAGCTACTTGGAGAGAATGACCCTAAAGTTGACATGAGACAAGGGAGAGCTCAAAGGACATGCACATAGGAAACCCAGGTTCAATCCATAGCGCCTTGTGGCCCCCCAGCACCACTGGGTGTAGACCAGAAACAAACAAACAGGTGATGGGACCAAGGATATGCCTTAGCAGAGGAGTATAGGTTTTACATGTCTGAGGCCTTGGGTTCAATTCCCAGCAGTGTCCCCAAAAGTGATTCAAAGTTGCTTTTGTTCAGTTATCTTAAAGAGCAGTTTAAAGGCCTGACCCAGATGTTAAAATGTGGAAATATTTGCTTATTGGTTATAGAGGCATACAAAGTTGCAAATGAGGATTCGCAGTGTGAAGGGTGAGCAAACCCAGTGGCTTGGCCTACCACCTTGCTTACATAATGGCCGTAATTGATGGAAGTGTTTGCTCCAGCTTCTCTTGAGAAGCGAAACTGTTCATGAAGGGGCTGGAGCAATAGCACAGCGGGTAGGGCGTTTGCCTTGCACGCAGCCGATCTGGGTTCGATTCCCAGCATCCCATATGGTCCCCTGAGCACCGCCAGGAGTAATTACTGGGTGCATGGGCCAGTAGTAACCCCGGTGCATCGCCGAGTATCACACACACACACACACACACACACACACACACACACACACACACAAAACAGTTTAAAGAGACTGTTCATGGAAAAGGGGCTTCACTGTGAAGATGTGAAGATGGTAACCCATGTGACAGTTGCTATTATAGTTAGTTATGAGTTACTTTTAAAGGGGTATCCTGTGCATCCAGCAGAAGTGGCCTCCTCCTCTGTAGCCTCTGTGTAGTGGCTATCTTTTGGTAGGTGTTAGGGTACAACTCTCCCTTCTCCATGCCTTGAAGCACAGCACACCTCATTTTAGTCAGGAAGACAGAAAAGAATACTTGTTAGTGCCCTCACAGGTATGTGTCTGATCAGATGTTGAGGAAAGGATAATTAAGTGAGCTCTTCTGATGACTCAGCCCACGTTCTCATCTGCTTCCCCCAATATGGAGGAAGAGAGGGTTACTGATCTGTTTGTGCTCCCCAGCCAGGATTGACACTGGCAGCTCAGGAACTCTCGTGGGTGTGGAAGCTGATGGGGGGTGGGGGGGGGGATCACTACGTACGTTGCTGGAGCAGCAACTTACCCCCCAGTCTCTTCACAGAACATCATCAGAATCCTTCCATGGTAGTCCAGATGTTCTGGGTACTTGAAAGAATAAATTTTATGCTTTATAAATAGCTTATTTTTACTTTGAATAAATGTTTACTACTTCCTTGAAATAAAACTTAGCAGTTCTGAACTGTAGTTCTGAACTGTATTGGGCTAGTTCTCCCCTGTCAAAATAATAAATATTTTGAATTCAGACAAGCTATAGAATATGAAATTAGCTTCTCTTGGTACTTATGTGCAGCCAACAGAGCTTACAGTTGAAACAGTTTGCCAGGGCTTTTGGTTATAGTTTTCAGTGAACTGGGTTCTTTGCCTGTTTCTCTATTTCATCAGAATAGTAGGACTCTTTGTCCTGAAATTAAAGTAACCCAGACATAAAAATGTAGTGTATCTCCTTATTATCAACTCATGCCTATGAGGCAGATTATCACTTCTTTTTTTGAGTCATCAAGGGAATTTCACAAAATTACTACCAGGTATAAATTACAGATGAAGTAGGACTATGAAATCTTCACTTTCCCTTCATTTACATTTGAATAGTCAAATGAAAATAGCCTTGGTGGCACTACTTCCAGATGATCCCTTTTCAGAGTGATGATATATCAGTTGGAGCTCTCCTCTCTGCCAGCCCTGTGGCTCCCTATGGAACCAGAGGTGCTGGTGGCCTGTGAGGGGACAAGAATGTGCCTCTAGCCTCTCAGAGCTCATTTAACTCTGGAGTTGCAGTGTCTTTCCTTGTGACCCTGGTGCCCCAGCACACTGAACTGCTGAGCACAAATCCGGGGCCATTTACTGCCTCAGCTGCACTTGCAGGAAAATGTAGTTCCCACAAGAAAAAAATACCTGGTGAAAGAGATGAATTCTCATAATAACTTACCTGGGAAAGTCCTGGAGTTGGTTGTAGGGTTCATACACAAGTAATGTTCATCTGACAAATTATACTAACATAGTACTTAAAGAGTGCCTAGGAACAAAAGAATATAAATTTTCAGTTTAATGTTACATCATTTTGGCTACTTAGGGTTCCTATTAAACAAAAATTCAAGGGCAGGCCCTAAGTTAGCTTTGCAAATGGCATCATTTCTTATCTGACTGGTTTTTCAGTCTTCTCAACCCAGAAGCCTCTAATTGCGCCATTGCGTTCTGAATTATAGGTGTGATGAACCAAGGAGTGGCCCCTATGGTAGGGACTCCAGCACCAGGTGGAAGTCCATATGCACAGCAGGTAAGCCTCAAAGTTGGGTTTTCTAGTACTCAGTAGAATTCAGAATATCCTCTTTCTTAGAGCACGTACCATGTATTTTGTTTTCCTCACTCTGCTCTTTTCCTTCAGGTGGGAGTTTTGGGGCCTCCAGGGCAACAGGCACCACCTCCATATCCTGGCCCACATCCAGCTGGACCCCCAGTCATACAGCAGCCATCAACACCCATGTTTGTGGCGCCACCACCAAAGACCCAACGGCTTCTCCACTCTGAGGCCTACCTGAAATACATTGAAGGACTCACTGCTGAATCCAACAGTATTAGCAAGTGGGACCAGACCCTTGCAGGTAAGGAAAGTCCTTCACACAATCCTTGCAAAATATAAACTTCCGGGCTGGAGCAATAGCACAGAGGGTAGGGCATTTGCCTTCGTGCAGCCAACCTGGGTTCTGTTTCCAGCATCCCACACAGTCCCCAGAGCACCACCAGGAGTAATTCCTGAGTGCATGGACCAGGAGTAACCCCTGTGTGTTGCTGGGTGTGACCTAAAAAACAAAATAAATGGAATCCTTTGGCTGCTGTGGCATAGTGTGTCATAGGATAAACAGCCATTTTTCTTTCTTGCTTGCTTGCTTTTTTTTCTTTTTTACTCCTGGCTCTGCGCTCAGGGATCACTCCTGTCAGGGCTCAGGATCCTGAAGATCTATGGGATCCTGAAGATCTAAGCCAGGTCGGCCATGTGCAAGGCAAGTGCCCTGCCTGCTATACTGTCTGGTCCCAACACCCATTTTGCTTATACAAGTCAGGTGTATATTTAACAAAGGTTTTAGAGCTTCTTTTGTATATTAACATTAGCACTGTAGCACTTTCCTCCCGTTGTTCATCGATTTGCTCGAGCGGGCACCAGTAACATCTCCATTGTGAGACTTGTTATTACTGTTTTTGGCTATCGAATATGCCACGGGGAGCTTGCCAGGCTCTGCCATGCAGGCGGGATACTCTCGTTAGCTTGCCGGGCTCTCTGAGAGGGATGGAGGAATCGAACCCAGGTTGGCCGCGTGCAAGGCAAACACCCTACCTGCTGTGCTATTGCTCCAGCCCATATATTAACATTACAAACTCAAAATTTTTTTTAAATTTCAAATCTCTTTTGTCATCAACATCACTGTCAACTTTTAAAATGAATGTTCTCTGTTTTTCAAACATTTAGGCATTAGTTTTGAGGCATTTAGATAAAAATTGTTTTTATCTCAGTTTTTTAAATTAGTATTAATCTGTCAGGTTATTCATCTTATTTAGCGAACTTAGTGTAGTATTCAGTATGCACTAAAATAATTTTTCCTCGGTCCAGAGAGAGTACAGGATCCAAGGCACTGACATGACCTGCTGCCATCTCAGCTAGAGCCCTAGTTCAAATTCCTGGGAACACACAGTGATCCATGGATTCTAATAGGAGTCACTCCTGAGCATAGAACCAGGAGTAGCCCCTGACAGCCTCTGGGTGTGGCCACCAAAAAAAAAAACCTCAAAAATAAATAAAATAGGGGCCAGAGCAATATAGTATAGCAGGTAGGGGTTTTACTTTGCATACAGCTGTCCTGAGTTCGGTCCCACAGTCCACCAGGAGTGATCCCTGAGTGCAGATCCTGGAGTAAGTCCTGGCTGATGGGTGTGTCCAAAAAACCAGAATAAATAAAAGAACTTGTCTAGGTTCTAGAAAGCTATTTTGAAGTTTCTGTTTCTTTCTAAACCAAATTAGAATTGTATTTTTTAAGAATGCAAGGAAGGTAGTTACGAGACGAGGGAGGCGGCTCATGCTTCGCATGCAGAAGCCCCGGGTTTGATCCCTGCCACTGCAAGGTCCCCAGGCACCACCAGGAATGACCCCTGAACACCAAGCCAGGAGAATAGTCCCTGAGCACTGCTGGGTGTGTGTGTGGGGGGGGGGGGGGAGTCATTTTCCCTTTCCTGTCATTTCAGGGGAGGCAGGTGGTTGAGACACTTGCCTTGCATGCAGCCAATTCCATATCAATCCCAGCCTTACATAGGGTCCACCAAGCACCGCCAAGAGTGATTCCTGAGCACAAAGCCAGGAATTGAGCCTTGGGCATTGCTTGGTATGGCCTTCCCTGCCCCCCCAAAATTATTAATAACTAAAAAGTATGTATTAGGGGTGCCCACAACAAAACATTAGAAATCAGGAGTAAGCCCTGAGCACTGCCATATATATAGCCCCAAAACAGCAACAAACTATTAGTAATAGATCATTGTGTATAACTTTTGCAAAAAATGTGACATGTTTTGGCTCTTTTATGAAATCATTTTGTTAATTAGATAATTTCTAAGATATAAAGCGTGTAACAAAGACATTCTTGCCTAGTTAGTGTCATTCCCAAAACCAAGATGCATAATAAATGATACCAAAAATTTGGTTGGAAGTAAGGCTGAGGATGTAACCCAGCACTTAAGCACTTGCCTTGCATGTGTGATGTCCCAGGTTCAGTGCCCAGAACCCCCAGGAAATAAAGAATATTTGCTTGGATATAGATTTTTTGTTTGGGGGCCACACCTGGCTGTGTCCAAGGCTTCCTCCTGACTTTGTGCTGAAGGGTCACTCCTGGCATTGCTCAGGGAACCATATGCAGTGCCAAGAATCAAACTTGTCGGGGCTGGAGCAGTAGTACAGCGGGTAGGGCATTTGCCTTGCACAAGGCTAACCCGGGTTCGATTCCCAGCATTCCATATGGTCCTCTGAGCACCGCCAGGAGTAATTCCTGAGTGCAAAGCCAGGAGTAACCCCTGAGCATCGCCGGGTGTGACCCAAAAAGCTAAAAAAAAAAACAAAAACACAAGAATCAAACTTGTCTTGGTTGTATGAAAGGCAAGGCAAGGCAAGGTCTTTACCCACTGTACTATTTATCCAGCCCAAACTCGGAAATAGTTTGTAAATCTGAAATTCATGTTTAATAAATAATGTGGGGTTTTTTTACCAAATTTTATCAGATTTTAGGATGAAAGGAAAATCTGTGACCTCGTCATTGCTACTTCGGAGCCAGGTTCGGTGGCTAGAGCATCTGCCTAGTGTGTATGGGGGTGGGGGTGTGGCCCCAAGTTCAGGCCCTCTCACTTCCAGGCCAAGCACTAAACCGTCTGCCCATGTCTCTAGGTGTGGCCCCGGTAAAAATAAGAAAGAGTAATAATGAAAATTCTTATTTATATTTCCCTACTTTGATTTTCAGCTCGGAGACGTGATGTTCACCTGTCAAAAGAACAGGAGAGCCGCCTTCCCTCTCACTGGCTTAAAAGTAAAGGGGCCCACACCACCATGGCAGATGCCCTCTGGCGCCTTCGGGATTTGATGCTCCGAGACACCCTCAACATTCGCCAAGCATACAATCTAGAAAACCTTTAATCACATCAATTACGTTTCTTTTATAGAAGCATAAAGAGTTTTGTGGAACAGTAGCCATTTTAGTTACTGGGGTGGGGGGAGGAACAAAGGATGGACATTTTTATTGCGTTTTACTGTACATCACAAGGCCATTTTTATATAAGGACACTTTTAATAAGCTATTTCAATTTGTTTTTGTTATATTAAGTTGACTATCAAATACACAAAGATTTTTTTGCATACGTTTCCTTTGTTTGAAACCAGTTTCCTAATTGGTTATATATGTAGACTTGGAGTTTTATCTTTTTACCTGTTGCCATGGAACTAAAACCATCAGAGGTTTTTGTCTTGGCTTGGGGTTTTTGTTTTTTTGTTTTTGGGGGGCTTTTTCTTTTTTGTTTTTATAAAGAACAAACAAAATGAAAAAAAATAACACACATACAAGAGTTTACAGATTAGTTGAAGTTGACATTGACAATGAAATGTGAAGTTGGTCCTAGTTTACATCTTAGAGAGGGAAGTATACTTTTGTCTGTTTCATGTGCCTGAATATCTTAAGCCACTTTCACAAAAGCTGTTTGTCAGAGCTGAAGTGACGGTTCACTTCACTTGAAAGGTTATGTAGGTTCTAGATGTTTAGCAGACAGAGCGGATTTGTTGTATTGCAACGGCTCATTAGAGAAATACGAAATCAGTGCTGTGTGTCCTGGCCCCTCCCGGATACCTAGAAAGGGAGGTGCTAAAGTAGACATCTCTGGAGTCCATTCACCATTTTTGCAGAACATGTGCACAATCCTGAGTTATATTTAGTCTCGGCAGGTAAGTTTAAGGGTATTTTTGGTCTATTTATAGTTAATCCACAGTTTATACCTAGACATGTTAGACGATTTGAATACTTAAATCTCTCACATTGCAAAACATTGAAGTTCATCTTGAAGAAAGCATTGAGGTGTACATGGAGGTGATTTACTTTCAAACACAATGCCTAACCTAACCTGGATGTCTATGAGAGGTAGATTGCCTGCATGTGCAGATCTGTTTTAGTATTCTTTATTCCTTCCTTACCAGATGTGGCTTTTTTTTCTTCTTTCAAGATTGTAATTCTCAAGCAGAAATTTAAGACTTTCTAAAACATTTTTAAATTTAGCTTGTGCTTTTGAATTTCAGGAGAAGGGAACCATAATTCAAGAAAGTGCTCTTACGTGACCCTGGGATTAATATTTAAAGGCTGTTTGTGACAGTTTGTTCAGTCAGGTACAGGCAGAAAGCATCAAACATGCAACAGTATTTTCACCGTGTGGCTTTAAAACCTGCTTTACTGTAATAGCATGATTGCCACTGAGGTAGAGCATCCACTGCTGTGTGTTGTTTGTGAATGGAAAGGAAGGTGACTCTCAGAGGACACTTTTTTTTTCCTTTTAATCTGGTATGAATCAATACCTGGATATTTAATTACTATTTTTACTAAATCATGAGGACAAAAGTGTAGAATGGAATGAAGTCTCTTGTATCTAAATACCTTAAATACATGAGGCCCTTATAACTTAATTGCCTATAGTCAACCACTGGATCTCAGTATGCATCAAGTATTTTAAATCTGAATTTTAAGAAAATGTATTGCAGTCATATGTCAGTACCTTACTGTTAACTGAATCAGATAAGGAAATCTTCAGTTCCTAATTATTTGGGCCATTGAATCATCATCATGGATTGTATACTACAGTCAGATTATTTTATTTCTCGACATCCTTGAATTACACCAAAGAACCTGAAATTTAATTTTGGTTAAGTTATTTATTTATTTCATGTATCCATTTTATTTCCCCTTTAAGGTCTGAATGAGACTTCTTTTAGAAGTCTCTAAAACTCTTCACTGTGGGCTGAGTGGGGCATTAGAAGCCACAGCACTCCTCCTCTGGGCTCTTTCCCAGAGGTGTTGTAGCAACCGTGGATGCAGCCAAGGGCTTCCCTAAGGCAGTGCACAGTTGGGCCAGGGGGCCACTAGGCAGGCCCTAATTAAGTTGTTGGGTTTTTTTTTTAAGTATGTATTTATTTTAGAATCATGTCTTTCTGTACATTAACTGGGAGAATATCAGTTAATATTTAGGATATAAATTTGAAGTCAGCCATCTCCCAAAAAAGAAAAAAAAAAGTCCTGATTTAAGAAAGTACAAGTAAACCATTCATCTTTTTTTTTCCATAAATTTTAGGAATTGTAGCAATATGGCTTAGAAAGTACAATAGCCTAAATGATTACAAAATGTAAGTTCATGTGGAAGAGACTTGGTTATGTGCAGAAAAAAACCTATAGGTTTAAAGTAGTATGTCAGCTAACTGATTAAAAGGCCTTGAATTGCTTTGTTTCTGAGCTTACCCTTCTCTTCCTATGAGGAAGAATTGAGAAGGGGACACTTCTTTGTGTAATATCTCTAAATTGGTGTTGTTGACTTAAGCTTGAACATTTTCAGACATGATTAAAACTTGGTTTATTCTTATTTCTGTATCAAAGAAGTTTCAGTGGTAACTAGTCTTATAACATGTATGTATCATATGTTTGTTCATCTAAAGCTTTTTAATCCAAATAAAAATGGAGTTTGCAAAGTGATTTGGATTAACCAGGTTTGGTTGTTCTGTTTAAACTTGTGTCAGATAAGTTTCCTGCAGACATAATTCCACCAAGCCTTGATATTATGCTAACAGAGACAAAGCTGCCATTTTCAGAGACGAGAGCTCCTCACGTGGAGGTGAAACTCAGCGTGCAGACCCCTGATTCAGGACGTAGACTGTATACCCAGAAGCAGAATGTAGGCAGACTGCAGCCCCACGCCAGGCCTCCAGGGCTGGCAGTCAGGGAATCCCACACATGTTCCCGGTGTGGGCAGACATGCAAGCTGAAGTTAAGACTGAAGTGTTACTGAAGGCAGAAGGAAAGAAAAGTATGTCCTGTTTCCTATGAACAGCGGGGCTTAGTTCACATAGCTGTCTGTGGCCCAAAGACAAAGGCACTCCCAGCTTGTCCTTCAGGATACTTAGGAACTCTTATAGCACAACCACACATAAAGTGTTGGTAGAATCAACCAGCTGTTTCCCTCTCATATCACTTTGCAAATCCCTATGGCTTTGTTCTCCTGAGTTTAAAGTACTTCCATCGATGCTCATGATTAAACTTTGAATGGTTATTGACGTATAGCTAAACACTCCAGCTTTATGCTGTGAGCAAACAAATATCACTGACTATTGCTTTATTTTTCAGTTTGGAAGTATGCTAAATCAGCCAGATTGAAGTTCAGAATTGAACAGACTTATTTCCACACCCAAAATAGATGTGGTGTATCTCTCTCGTGTATTACGTTTAAATGTAGCAAGAAATTCCAAACTTGGGGCTGGAGCAATAGTACATCGGGTAGGGCATTTGCCCTGCACACGGCCGACCCGGGTTTGATCCTCAGCATCCCATATGGTCCCCCAAGCACCGCCAGGAGTGACTCCTGAGTCCAGAGCCAGGAGTAACCCCTGAGCATTGCTGAGTGTGACCCAAAAAGAATAAAGAAAAAAAAATTTTCAAACTTACTATAGATATGTGAAAGCTAATCACTGATAATCACTTTACTGGGAGAGAAATTGCTTGGGTCCAAGTGTTTTGTGGTTTGTTTTTTGGTTTTATTCGGGGCACACCCAACAGTACTCAGTGCTTACTTCTGGCTTTGTATTCAGGGGTCATTCTTGGGAACCATATGTGGTGCAGGGACTCACAATGTGGTCAGCCTCATGCAAGACAGGTTCCTTAACTTACCCTTCAGCACCACCAAATGTGTTGTTTTTAGAAGGGGAGTGGAGGTAGCTAGTGAAAAAAATTCTGATGTAAGAGGATAAAATGTGATTTATAACTAAATTACACAGGACTTCTGGAATAAACTGATGGGAAAAGGTAGCACTCAGGTGAGTATTTTACTGCATATCTAACGTCTATTTCCATATCAGCCAAGATGATAAAAGTGAAGTTCCAAATCCCACATAAGGGGCCAGAGAATACAGACTAAGGCACTTGCCTTGCATTTGGCCAACTCTGGTTCAGTCCCCAGAACTGCTGTTCCCTGAGCACCATCAAGTAAAAAAGGCAAAAATAAAAAAATATTTCCGCTGTACCATAGTAGAGGGTAGATTTCTAACAATATTGGGGGCTTTGTCATTCTCTAGGATGTTCTATAGTTTTAGAGGTTTGGGTTGCTAAATTGTTTTGCCTTGGTCTTACTTGGTCAGCAAATGAGCATTGCCATTCTTTTTTGTTTCGTTTTGTTTTTGTTTAAGCTTCTTTTTTTAATGTCTAAAACAAGACAATAGGTTTTTGTTTTGTTTTTTGATTTGGCTTTTTGGGTCACACCCGGCAACACTCAGGGGTTGTTACTTCTGGTTGTGCATTCAGAAACTACTCCTGGCAGCTCTCAGGGGACCATATGGGATGCCCAGGATCAAACCCAGGTTTGCCACATGTAAGGCAAATGCCCTACCCACTGTACTTTTACTCCAGTCCCACAGTGCCATTCTTTACACACTCATTCAAGCTCCATTAAATAGATCTGGTGTCTGATTAATACAGTCATATTCCCTTGTAGGAGAGTGTTAAAAAAAGGGGGGGAGGGGCCTGGGAAGAGTCCAGCAGAAGTTAGACATATGCTTCACATGTTTAAGGACCTCGGTTTTTTCACTGACACCCAAAAAAGTTTTTTATTTCAAGCAGACTTTTAAAAATATGCTGGTTAACAAAGATTAGCCCATACCCTGTACCATCCAAAGTAATGTGCTCAAAGGAAAGAACCCACCACAGACACAAAAGTTACCTAATGGTTTTATTAGCAGTTACTTTTTATACTCCTAAAATTAAGTGAAGGGAAAATGTGTGGAATAAGTCCATGATTTGGGGAAGGCATACCACAATTCTTTTTTTAAATGGGAGGAGGTGGTGGTGGCACACCCAGCTGTGCTCAAGAATCACTCCTGGTGGGGCTTAGGGAACCAAATGCAGTGATGGGGTCAAAGCAGGGTCAGCTGTGTATAAGACAACCCCTGTACTGTCTCTCTAGCCCTAGTTTAAATTTCTTATTTGGCAGTACAGTCTGTAAAGACTATGATGTTACGTTCACTAGGAACCTTTCAGGTGACATAAGGGCTTCCTCTCCCAGAAGCCATCTCTGAACAATGAACTAGCTTGCTGTAGATAGTAATGGAGTTGTTAGTGATTATACTGGATTGATCCAAACATAAATGGACAACTTAGGGGGGGAAAGTGCCCTATTTTGTGTCAGAAATTATTTAATGGATACCTATGGCCTTTAGTATCTACTGCTTTATTCATGAGAAAAGGCTATTTTGAAACTAAGTCTTCTTTAATGTAGGTATTTTCCTACTTGAAATATTCAATTTCAAATATAGTTATCCAGACCTAGAAGGATTTCTTTGTCTTCTCTACACCTTACTGAAACTCCAGATCCTGGTGCATTAAAACCTCTGCTCTTAGACTGAGTCTTTGTCTTAATTAAAGGCTATTGCTGCTACCCACTGCAGAAGGAAGCCTAACTTTCTTATGGAGGGAGCACAGGGTGGAAGCTGCAGCATCACAGAGGGGAGGTAGAGTGTGATGGCCCCTAGTTCTCATGGAGGACATCAAGGGCCTTGCGTGAGTGTAATGCCCTGCAAAGGGGGTTTTCTTCTGTTCCTGAGCACTTCTGAGTCAAGAATTCCCACAACCAAGGCTGAAGAGATAGTACAGAAGGTAGGGCATTTGCATTGCACGCAGCTGACCTACATTCCATCCCTGGCATCCCATATGGTCCCCTGAGCAACACTGGGTGTGCCCCCCACACACACACACACACAAAAATTTTTTAAATAAACTAAGAAAAAAAGAATTCCCACCTTAGCAAAAAGTTTATTATTTGTTGCATAAAAACAAAGATCTTCATAAACAATTCAGACTGCTGTTAAAAACATTCTGACTGATCCTTGAATTAAGAGATACTTCGGGGGCTGGACCGATAGCATAGCGGGTAGGGCGTTTGCCTTGCACGCAGCCAACATGACCGACACAGGTTCGATTCCCAGCACCCCATATGGTCCCCCGAGCACCGCCAGGAGCAATTCCTGAGTGCATGAGCCAGGAGTAACCCCTGAGCATCGCCGGGTGTGACCCAAAAACCAAAAAAAAAAAAAAAAAAAAAAAAAAGAGATACTTCATCTAGAACCACAGAGATAGCACAGGGGTTAAGGCAACTTGCCTTGCATGTGGCTGACCCCGGTTCAATCCCCAGAATCACAGATGGTCCCCTAAGTACTGCCAGGATTCACCCCTGAGCACAAAACCAGGAATAAGTCCTAAGCACTGCTGTTTGTGGCCCAAAACTCAAAAGAAAAATATTTCATATGCTAAATCCAGCAGGTAGGTGTGTTTTGGGAGGAAATAATCCTCGCATAACTGCTTTGTAATAACTTGGGAAGTATTTAATCAGACAGAAAAACTAAAAATTCCTTGTGATCCAGTTCTGTGATCTGGATTTAAGTGCTTTGCATATAGGAGGTCTCATTTCAGTTCCCTGCATCTCATGGTATCCCCTCCTTCCCCTGAACACAAGCACTGGAAACACCTGAATACCACAAGTTATATCCCCTCCCTCCAAAAAAATCTGCAGAGTACATTTAGAGGAAGGGTATTTTGATTTGGGGGCCACACCCAGTGGTGCTCAGGGATCGCGTCTTGTGGGACTTGGGGACTGAACCCAGGTCAGCTGCGTGCAAGGCCAGCACATTATCCACTGTCCACTCTTCTAATTTTCTGGCCCCCAAAACTGCATTTTTTTTTTAAAAAAATGTGAACTTTTATTATTTTGGTGTTTGGGTCACACGTAGTGGTACTCAGGGCTTACTCCATACTCTGCTCAGGGTTCAGTCCTGTTGGGACTTGGGGAACTATATGTGGTACCCGGGGTTGAACCCAAGATGGTTGTGTGCAAGGCAAGCCCTTTACCCCCTGCATTAGCTCTGTCACCCTGAAAAACACTGTCTTTTGTTTAGAGGCCATACCCAGAGGCGTTCATGCTTTCTGCCTCTGTGCTCGGGGATCACTCCTGGCTGGGGAGAGGGGAAGGGCATAGGGGGTCGGAGTGTATATGGGATGGTGGGCTCAAACCCAGGCTGATGCAAGGGCCTACTTGCTGTGCTATCTTCCCAGCCCCTATAAAGGACGTTTTGTTTGTTGTTTTTTGTTTTCCAGTCACACCTGGCGATGCTCAGGGGTTACTCCTGGCTCTGCACTGAGGAACTACTCCTAGCAGTGCTTGGGAAACTATATGGAATGCCAGTGATCAAACACAGCTCAGCTGAGTGCAAAGCAAGCACCCTACCTGCTGTACTACCTCTATGGCCCCAAAAAGTACATTTTTTTAAGGAGTTGAAACAAGTAATGAAATTTCATAGTCACTTTATTGACTGCTGAAGTTCAGTCTCTGATGCATCTTCCAGTCTTCTCTGATACTGTCTCTCTGAGGCTTTTCTACGGTAGACATCATCTGTATCAAACAAAAATTTTATTTAGATTTTTAAGAAACAGGAATT